TTGAGAAGGTAACTGCTCTTATTGTATATGTGGATGACCTGGTTGTTACTGGAAATGACTCAAATGAAATAGTTGTCCTCCAAGAAAGCCTTGAAACTGAATTTGAACTTAAAGATCTTGGACACTTGAAATATTTCTTAGGCATTGAAGTTGCAAGATCAAGTAATGGAATTTATCTATGTCAGCGAAAATATGTATTAGATTTGTTAGCAGAAACTGGGATGCTTAACTGTAAGCCCGTTGAAACTCCCATTGAAGTGAATCACAAGTTAGCCATTCAACAAAACCAAATTCCAGCTAACAAGGAACCAAATTCCAGCTACAAAGTGCACGAGGTATCAAAGATTAGTTGGGAGGACAATATCTGCTCGGCATACACGTCTGACATTATTGCATATGCGGTTAGTATTGTAAGCCAATTCATGCATACACCAAGTGAAGAACATATGAAGGCTGTTCATCGGATCTTGCGATACTTAAAGTCTTGCCCAGGAAAGGGATTATTTTTCGCTAAACAGGGAGATCGAGAGGTCAAAGGATATACAGATGCAGATTGGGCTGGAAGTCTGACCGATCGAAAATCCACATCAGGGTATTTCACTTTTGTTGAAGGCAACTTAGTTACATGGCGAAGTAAGAAGCAAAAAGTGGTAGCAAGATCAAGCGCAGAAGCAGAATTTCGCGGAATGGCACAAGGCATCTGTGAATTGCTATGGATAAAGCGTATTTTACATGATCTATTTTACATGATCTGGGTATACATCTGTCAACACCTATGAAGTTATTATGTGATAATAAGGCAGCCATAGCAATTGCAAATAATTCAGTTCAACATGACAGAACCAAACACGTGGAAGTCGATCGGCACTTCATCAAAGACCATCTTGACAAAAATACAATTAGTCTTCCGTTTGTCACTTCAAAAGATCAACTAGCAGATATCCTAACAAAGGCTGTGTCCGTAAAAGATTTTCAAAGCTCACTTAACAAGTTGGGAATGATGGACATATATTCACCAACTTGAGGGGGAGAGTTGGCGTGAGCAAATCAAGGAGAAAGAAATGTCAAAGTTTGACAGATTGTGAAGAAAATCTACTGTCAAACTTTGACATGAGCAAAAAATAGGATTTGTCAAAGTTTGACAGATTATGAAGAAAATCTGCTATCAAACTTTGACAAATCTTAAATCTTTGCCTTTAATTTAGGCTGTAAATTAGGATCTAAATTGTACAAAACTAGTATAAATATTTGTAATTTGCCTTTAATTTAGGCTGTAAATTAGGATCTAAATTGTACAAAACTAGTATAAATATTTGTAATTGCTGGAAAAGTAATTAGAGAGGTGAAACAAAATTGTTCTTAATTATCTTTTCTACAAAATTCTTCTCAAAGAAGCTAAGCATAGTGGGGATGGTTGGAGTAGCAATAGAGTGCGAAACTTAGAAGCCCAAATAAAGGCTGAAGTTGTTAAAGAGGAAATCTATTGGGCTCAAAAATCCAGACAAGTGTGGTTGAAAAAAGGGAGATAATAATACTGCTTTTTTTCATGCTAAGCTCAGCGGTATAAAAGAAATTTCATTAATGGTATTGAAGATGCTCAGGGAGTATGGCATATTGAACAAAAAGAGATTGTAGCTGTTGCTTTGGATTATTTTGAAGCGATATTCACATCTTCCAATCCCTGTAACTTTCAGAGGGTCTCTTAAGGTATCCGATGTCGAGTTACTTCTGTTATGAATGACTTTTTAATTCGGGAGGTCTCTGATGATGAGATTCAACAAGCAGTATTCAGCATCCATCCCTTAAAAGCTCCTGGAGATGATGGTATGACAGCTCAATTTTTTCATGTGTATTGGGATGTCATTAAAGAAGACATATTCAAGGCTATTAGAAGTTTCTTTAGTTCAGGAAGGATGCTTAAAAATATCAACCACACTATTATCTCTTCGATTCCTAAAACTAAATAAGTTAAAACCATGCAGCATTTGAGGCCTATTAGTTTGTGCACAGTGTATTATAAAATCATTGCTAAGGTTCTCACTAACAGACTGCAAGGAACCATGCACCACGTAGTTGGAGATCATCAAAGTGCTTTCACAAAAGGCAGACTTATTTCAGACAATATTCTCTTAGCTCATGAACTGATGCACTCCTTAAAAACTAGAAGAAACAGTGGTAGGTATGACATGGCTATTAAACTTGCTGTCAGCAAAGCCTATGATTGATTGAATGGGATTTTCTTAGTCATATGATGAACCAACCTGGTTTTCATTCTAAATGATAAACTGGATTATGGCATGCGTTACCTCTGTTTCTTATTGTGTCAAAATCAATGGACAGAAGTATGGTTTTATCACTCTTTCTAGAGGACTCAAGCAAGGAGAACCCCTCTCCCTATATCTATTTCTTCTATGTGTTGAAGGATTCTCTGACATGATTACTAGAGCTGAGAGAATGAACCAAATTTCAAATGTTAAAATTGCTAGAAGGTCTCCTCCAATATCTCATTTATTATTTGCTGATGACTCCATTTTGTTTTGTAGAGCATCTGAGCAGCAAGCCATTCACATTAAAAGCATCCTTACTTAATATAGCCAAGCCAGCAGCCAACAGGTTAATTTTCGCAAATCTTTTATCTTCTTCAACCGCAACACACCTTATGCTTGTAGAGATTCAATTGCTCAATATCTGGGAATCAATCATATAGGAGGGTAAGATAAATATTTGGGTCTCCAATCAGTTATCTCTCGCTCAAAAAGGATCACTTTTGCCGAAATTCAAGAAAAAATAAGGCAATGACTCATGAATTGTAAAGAAAAATTGCTTTCAACTGCAGGTAAAGAAGTCCTAATCAAAGCAATTGCTTCAGCCATTCCTATTTCCTCTATGTCGTGTTTCAAGCTTCCTATTAGTTTATGCCGTAAAATTAATTCCACCATAGCTCAGTTTTGGTAGGGCCAGAAAGAAGATGAAAAAAAAAAAAACACTGGTTATCATGGAATTCATTATGCAAATGAAAAGTAGAGGGAGGTTTGGGCTTTCGAGATTTAGAATATCTCAGTTTGGCTTTGCTTGGAAGCAATGTTGGAGCATCCTTAAATTTTCAGAATCGTTGCTCTCTCGAGTTTTAAAAGGAAAATATTTTCCTTTTTCATCTTTTCTTGAAGTTGGGCATAAGCGTAATCAATCTTGGGGATGGTAAGAGTATTTTAAAAGGAAAAGAATTTCTTAAGCAAGGTCTTCAATTGAAAATCAGAAATGGAAAATCTGTTTTTTATGATGATCCACGGCTACCACCAAAATTTCCCTTCAAGCCATGCCTTCTCAATGGTGATCATAGCAGAATATATTGGGTTTCGCAACTTATTAATTCCACCACTGGTATTTGGAACTATAATCTTGTGCGGACTAATTTTGTTGATGCAGATGCCAAAGTAATCTTATCTCTTACTTTTAGCATCACTACAGCTCAAGACACCTTAGTGTGGCACTATACCAAAAATGGAGAGTACTCAGTTTGTTCAGGCTATCATAAAGCTTGCAAGCAAAAAGAGTTATGTTCTTCTCAACATCAAATGAATTCGAGCTATGGAGCAGGTCAACAATAATTATGGAAGAATGTATGGTCTTTGAATGTTCCAAATAAAATCCGCATCTTTTAATGGAGAGCTTTACACAATAGTCTTCCTGTAGGGATCTCTTAGCTAAAAGGTTCCCTACAAAAACGAATCTTCATAAGTTGTGCTCTGATGTAGAAACCTCATCGCATCTATTTTTTTTGCGCCACAAGGCTGCTGCTGTTTGGATCCATTCTCCCCTGCAATTACGAACCGCGAATTTCAATGGAATGGATTTCAAGGAATTCTGGCAAATTATTTATCAAAACCTTTCCAATTCTGGAAATCATGATATGGTAGCTCTTGCTGTTTTTTTTTGTGGCAGATTTGGAAGGCAAGGAATGCTCTCATTTTTCACGATCAAGATTGGAACTGGAAAGAAATCTTAGAGAAAGCTTTTTTTCACAGTCAAGAGTTCAAAGATGCTTGCAAGCTTTTGAATCATCCAAATGATCAACCATCTTCATCTCTTGAAGAATCTACAACACCTCCAAATGTTGTGAAGGTCAATTTTGATGCAGCTGTGAAAAACAAGATGAATTATGGTTGCATTGCCATTATAGCACGTTCTCATTTGAACAGGATTATAACATGGTCAGTGAAGCAAATCCTTTTTCAAACCAATCCCATTATTTTGGAAGCAATGGCTCTTAGACAAGCTGTGGAAATGGCTTTACAGCATCATTTTCACAATGTTATTTTTGAGGGAGACCCAAAAATAGTCATGGATGCAGCTTCAAAGACGTCTTCTCCTTTTGTTTGTATTCAAGGCTTAATACATGATGTTTCCTATCTAGCTACTCAGTTTTCTTTAGTTTCTTTGAAGTTTATTAGAAGGCATTTTAACAGTGATGCCCACAATCTAGCTAGAAAAGGTTTGAATCTTTCTTTTGTATTAATATCTCATCCCAAGTTTCATGGATCAGGGAGTGATACTAATCGTAGAATTTTATTTCCACTTTTTCAATGAATTTCTATTTGGTAAAAATATATATATATATATATAAAGCAGCAATCGTCATGGTTTAATCATGATAAGCACGTCCACCTCCACCTCCACCTCCACCTCCACCTCCACCGCCCTTTCCATCATTGCCACCCATCACGGTTGCCTTTCTCAATTCTTTTTTTTTTTTTGACATGTCCTTTCTCAATAATCAAATGATACATGAAATTATGATTTTATGACTTCAAATTTTAGTCAAAATAAAAAAAAAATATGTGTAATAAGATCTGTTGGTTGGTGAGATGATCAATATTTCAAAGAAAGAGAAAGAAATACTTCTAGAAATTAGAGCCAATTACAATAATAAATTATGTAATTCAAATTAAAGATGAGGGAAAAAAAAAAAAAAAGAAAAGAAAAGAAAAGAGGGAAACCCATAAACTAAAAAGACGATGATAAAAAAAATAGAGTACAAAGCATGCGTGAGGAAAGATTGTTCATTATCACGAATCTAGGCCCTCTTTCTCTTCTTCATGATCAAGAAAGCTATCATGTGAAAGCTCCTTTATCCACTCAAATGTTCGATGACGTGACATTACTTGCTTTCCCTGCTGTTGCTGCTTTTCCGTCATTTTCTTCTTCTTCTTCTTCTTCTTTATCTTCATTTCTTGTAGTTTTTGCTCCGCTTTTGTCGACCCTCTTTCTTTGCTTTTCTCATTTTTGCTATCATTAATACTTCCCGTGCTGTTGTTACCGCTTTTAATATTGAGTACATTTAATGGAACTGGTTTAACTGCACTAACTGTACAACTGCAACCACTTAATAGCCCTGATTTTTTGTCCAAGAAACGCTGTTTACACCGTTTCTTCTGTTTCTCCATCTTTTCTTGATTGCCCTTGCTACTAATCTTGATACTTGAATTGCTGTTACTGCTATTAGAACTGCTGTTTCTACTAACAGAGGCTCGAACTTTAAGATCTTGCAATTCAATCTCCGGGGTACGGACTACACCGAGTCTAAAAATGTCCCATACAGTTGATTTTCTTGAATTTCTGTTATTGCCAGTATTTCCTTTAGTGGAAAGTCTGATTTGAGGCTTGGGACTCGGATGGGTGTGAAATTGATTTTGAATTATTGATCTTGGCTGCTTTGAAATTGAAATTCTTGGACTTTTTTTAACAGAGCTAGTCGTGCTAGTCGATGAAAATTGGCTTCTACTGCTACTGCTTCTGCTACTAAAACTTGTAAACCCATGGTCCAATGACTCTGATCTTGAGAAACATTTAATAGGATTTTTTAAGCTGTCTTGGCTCGACTTATAAGTACCACTTTCAGAACTTATTGAAAGACGAAATGGAAGAATTTGACCTTGAAAGAAAATATCATCAGCTGCACACATTTCTGATTTTGTAGAAACAGACCTACCAAATTGGCTAAAATCAAAATCTTCTTGATTTGCTTCAGTTTCTTCTCTTCTCAATTGATGATTCTCTTCTTTGATCAAATTGATTGGTAAATCACAAAGTGATAATGCTTCTACTTCTTCTTCTTCTTCAGAATTTTCCCATTTCCCTTCTTCGTTTCTTGCCATTTCAAGAAACAGAGCTTTTAGTACCCAAAAATAGTGTTGGGGTCCCTCCTAAGAAGAAAAACAAAGGAGATGAAGATTCTTAAGACTTATATCCAAGAAAGACGGCATTTAAATAAGAAAAAGGGAAATAGAGGGAGAGAGATTTGAATTTGTTATTCTAAGAGAGAAGCAGGGACATGTGGAACTTAAAGAAATAAAGCTACTGCAAGAAAAACAGAGGATTAAAGAAAGAAAATAATAGCAGAAATGGAGAAGTCAGTGGCTGTGCAGGCTCTCTTCTCTACTCAAATAGTCCTTTTCTTTGGCTGGGACCAACACCTAATTGGCCGGCCATTACCTGATTCTTTTACTGTCTACAAATACCCTCTTTAATGTATTTGAATTGGAGGCAAGAGGGTATTCTCAAGTGGGGCTATATATAAGATAGTGTTATAGGGACATTTTTATATCATGAACATGCAAATTTTTTTATATTTATGCATATAGTTTATAGATAGAAGCAACCTTTTTTGGGTTTCTCTTCCAAGTATAGAATGTAATCTATAAAATAAAATGTCACACCATCATAGACAGCTTTTGTTGAGCTCTATACACTTAATAATAGATTCAATTTATGGAATCAAAGTTTATATGGGAATACAAAAATCAAGACACCCACAAATTCTTTGAGACAGGGACTAGAAGAGAATTAATAAATCAATAGGGAATTGGTGAGGATTTTATTTGTGAATTTTTAATTAATTTGATTTTGGGTCGGTGTGGGTTGATAAGAATACTGAAATGATGTATTTTAATTTTGTAGGTGACTTGTGTGGTGGAATTGGGCGATTTGAATGTTATGTCATGGAGAGCTTGTGATAATTGAGAAAGAATGTGACTAATCAATCTCTTTCTCTTTCTCTTCCCATGTCTTTAATTTTGCTTTTCTTGTGGAATGGACGTTTTTTGCCCTGTTGGATCGGGTAGGAAAGGAATGGCTTGTATTTCATTGTTTTATACACGACAAAAATTGTCTGTGAGATTTTTTTTTTTTTTTTTAAAGGGAAATAATTATTTTTAAGGATAAATATCTCGTGATGTTATTTCAATTTCTTTTCTTTTTTATTTTAAAAAGTGATTTAGATAGTAATTTATATTTAAATTGAATAAACGAGATTTGTAAAATCAATAATTCGAACTATTATAAAAAGTTCAACTCGTGAAATAACATTATAAAAAGAATAATTCGAACTATTGCGAAATAACATTATAAAAGGAAACAACTACAAACCCAAATCAAATTCTTCTTCTTGTACCCAAATAATATCTTAGTGAGAGTACCAAAAAGGAAAATTCTTATTTTCTTTTTTCTTTTAAGGAGTCTTGAGTTGACTTTAGTTGTCAACTACAACCATTTTATTATAGTTTTGAAAAAACAATGTTAATTATTTGTCATAGCATCTTAAGAAGGTTTTAAATGATTTTAAGAAAAATAAGTATTTTTGGAAAGTTATTTACCAATAAAAACAGGTAAAAAAGACTATTCATTCGATAATACATAAATATATACGTATATAGTGTTGGCTTATCATACGTCCAAAATCATTCATATATCCACATACAATGTATCATTTTTGGTATTCAACAATCTTCTTTTTAATGTTTTTTTTAATTAATAATAAATTCTTTTTTAAAAAAAAGGAAGAAATCAATCCGTAATTAGAAATTATTAATGGTAAAATCTATTTTTTGTAATTTTATGGAAAAATGAAATAGAAATATGAACCTTTCTTAAAAAAAAAAAAAAAAACATAAATAGAAATATGAATCATATTTGAACTGAAAGAGACAATATTAGTTTTGTTTAATGTTCTTGAACACGAAAGACAAGCAGCAGACCCACAAACCAGGTTCACGACCTGCTTTTCTTATCCGTTTTACAAGGTAGAGCTGACGCTTGACAGCAAGTAAGAAATTGCAATTTTGTGAATTATTTTCATGTCACTTCTCATGCATCAAATTTAAGTGACATAACTGAATGTGGCAGTAGCAGCCCTTTAAGACTTTCAAAAGGAACAAAAATATATTGAACATGTATTAAAAGAGGCCGAGGATTTCATCTTCATGAACAGAAGATATATAATTAAACACATCAATTATAGAAAGAACATACAAATATACACAGGTCACATTTTCCTTAATCACTGTTATTTATTATCTTTTTTTAATTTGAAAAAAGAAAGCTGAAAGTTTAATTACCCAACTTTATTTAATCCCCATCTATATATTCATCCAAAAAAAAAAAAAAAAACTAAAAAAAACTAAGGTGGTTTTCTTTTTTAATTTTGAGGAATAAAATTTAAGGCTTCTTGGGACGACTAGTTATAGCATCAATGGTACTAACATCAGCATCTCGAGGGACAGAGCCACCAGAAAGAGTGGGTGCATCGGTGGCGCCGGCTCCGCGGCCAGGCTTTGGCTGGAGATGGCCTTGAGTTCCATAGCCCTTTAGCTTGTAATCTTCCAAGTCCTTGTATTGCAGATAAGGGCTGTCCTCAACTGGAAGACCCTCTAATTTCTCTTTCTTTTCCTGCTCTTCACGACTTTCTGTAGCTTGTTTTTCCATCTTTAGAACTTCTGATTTCTATTCAGTTTCTCTCCATCCACCACCTTCTTCCTTATTCCATAATATATAACGGCGTTTTCTTAATAGCTGTGGCTTTGCTAAATGTCAGGCTACGTGTCTAATTTGCATGTGAAAGTGTTGTTAGTCATAGAACTACGTGTCAATATGTCAAGGGCACTACAGGCATGCAAATTGTAAATCCTCTTCGGACAATAATTGGATTGAAAAATACTTGTCTAAATTGAATTTATCGCTACGAATCAAATCAGCCAAAATAAAAATTTATAAATTTTTTTTTTTTTCAATATATAGTTAAAAATGCCATCCTTTCAAATTCTATTTCAACGGTTTGGTACAGTAAATATATCAGAGAATTTGATGCTTTAATTTCAAAGATGATAAGACGTATTCTTATTAAATTAAAAACTTCATTAAAAAAAACCATAAACCTTAAATAAATGAAATTGATTTCATAAGGATACTCCCAAAAAGGTCAATTTCATAAAAGTAGTAGTTTTTATCTTTTCTTTTAATTATTAATTTCATCCCTGCATTTTGAAGGCTACTTTTCTAGAGCGATTCATTGTTTTAGAGATTAACATTAATCGTATTTGGAAACTAGTCAAATGAAAAAGAAAGAATCAACTTTTCCTTTTTATGAAAAAGAAATCGAAATCAACCCCAAATCTGTTTTTAATCAGTACCATCGGTTGCTTAATAATTTGACCGTATTCTCAGATTGGCTGTATACCAAAAATGTAAAGAACAGTCATAAAGTGCACAACAGAATATAAAAATTTTGAATTTGTACTTAAAAAAAATTATGACATTTTTAAGTATTGTATACTTAAATTTATAAATTACACATTAAGTACTCCGGTTTAAAAAAACTATTATATTTACTCTTCAATTTATAAAATGATATCAATGAATATTTCTTGAACAATTAAAAAAAAATAAAACTTGCATTGACCACGTCAAATCAACATTTTCATGTAAAATTTAATTATACATGAGATTTTTTTTTTTTTTTTCATTGAGGGAAATTTTATCATTTTACTTATCCAACGTATAAAATGTATTTTACTATTCATATAATTTGATTGGATCTGGCTTAAAAAGAAATTAGGGCCGACTTTAAAATTGGGCTTGCCAAATGCCCAAAAACTGGTTTTGTCCCCCTGCATTGTTAGGCCTGCCCATTAAACATGTGCATCCGCTACTCGATCATTTACTTTCTATTTTTACTCTTTTAAATTTTTTCTTCCGAAAAAAAAAAAAAAAAAAAAAAATTTGTCCCCCCTGCAATTAGTTAGGCCTGCCATTAAACATTCATCCGCTATCTCGATCATTTACTTCTATTTTTTACACCTTTTAAATTTTTTTCTTTCTTCCCGAAAAAAAAAAAAAAAAAAAAAAATAAAACTATTAAACTATTACAAATACAAGGAATAATTTACATCCTCCCGACATCATAAGCAAGCTCAGAAATGAATACAGACGGTGGTTTCCGGAAGATGAATCTTTAAAGGTAAAAGTAAGTTAACAAAAAAAAAAAAAAAAAAAAAAAAAAATAACTATTAACTATTACAAATACAAGGATAATTTACATCTCCGACATCATAAGCAAGCTAAGAAATGATACAAGACGGTGGGTTTTCGGAAGATGAAATCTTAAAGGTAAAGTAGTTACAAAAATTTGCTAACCAATCAGCACATTAACTGACTTGCGATGAATATGAGATAAATGAAACCGAACACCATTATAAGGGAGAGGCTTGGATATGTTTAACTGAAGGCCTCTCTCCACCTGGCAGATCAACCAGGTCAAGAACCAAATGAACTACCAGCGAATTGTCACACGCCACCATCCTATTGACGACCAATGATAATAGCTCAAAGCTCAGCCACTAAAATGGAAATCCTACCGATATGAAGAGATGGTAAAGAACCATCTTTTTTTCAGTTTCAGAAATTCACAGAATGGTGGAGACCAGCTAATTTGATTCAGCTGACAACCTGAGAATGTATTAACAGAAAATATCCAGCAAAGAGAAATGAAAATTTTGCGGTTGGTTTTCATTGATCGATGTTGTTTATATATATACAAGTTGTTACAGAGCTTCTTCAAGCTATTATTCATAACTGTTTGCTAACAACTAGTGCCAGCTAGGACTGACAGCATAGCTAACATTCTTCTAGAATAAATTAATTGATCCGCACCGTTTTACTTATTTTCTTCTCTTGTTGCTGTGTTGCGTTTTGTTTAAAACTCCCCGTTTTGTCTCTTTGAGTTAAGTCTCCTAATATGTATTAAAATATTGAATTTCAATTACTGGAATCGTGAAGCTTTGTCAGCTATGCAGATGCGACTAACAAATACACATGGCAATAACGTTATTCTACAAACAATTAGATGGGTAAGACGCATCTAAAAGTAGCTTAATATTAAATTAAACTTGTCTCAGAGAAATCTTTAACACAAAAAAAGTGAAATCTTGAGAAATCTACTAATCAAGCATAGCAATACAAATACTAAAATGTAAATAAAACTGTACACTAAGAAAGAAAACATCTCCACACATTGCCTTTTCTTTTTCATGGTCTTTTCTTGTTTTCTTTCTCAGAGAACAACATCAAACACTAATCCAGCCTTCCATTATTTCCTGGATATAAACAAATTAATATGACATTCATAGAATTTTAAAACTAACAACTTATCTAATCCACTCCTCTCTTCGAGAAGGAGCAAATTAAAAACCCAACTTCTCCTATTTCATATGCTTCTTCTTCTTGGGCTAAGTCCAGCTAACTGCTATTGGACTACCAACAACATGTTTCCCATCACTCCACTCTAAACGAGCAAACGCGTTAGTATTAATTGGCAATGAACTTCCAGTTACAGTAACAGTAAAAGTTTTCTTCTCCTTTGCTTGGCTAAAGTTCAACACTTGAGGATTAACTGAAATTTTAACTCCCGTAAGCTGACCTGAAATTGAAGCCTTATAAGTCCCCGCACCAACCACATTGGTAAGTGTTCGTGTGTATTTAGCAACACTAGAACCACCATTGATCATTTGTGTAGTATCAAAGTTAACAGCAAAAGAAGGATAGTTAAAATCATTCAAACTATACTTCTTATTCGAATCGCAACTGAATCTTCTTCTTGCAAGGCTAGTGATTTGTGATGCTGTGTAATTTAACGCGCAGAGGAAACTTAAGTAGTCCTCGGATGTTAGATCGTAAACGAGCCCCGGATCAAGGGCTGATACTGGATCAACATGTCCTGCACCATGGTCAAACGGAGTAGAGTCTTTCCCACTAGCAGTATCTTTCAGTTTCTGTCCATTTTTATAAGCTACATAAGCTGTAGTCATTAAAGCTGATCTAATAGCTGCTGGACTCCAATCTGGATGTGCAGCCTTAAGCAGAGCAGCTAGACCACTAACATGAGGACAAGACATTGAAGTTCCTGAAATAATGTTGAACTCCACACGCCTTGGATCTGTTGATAGCCCAGTAGGACCAACTGAACCAGACCATCCTGCTAAAATGTTAACACCTGGGGCTATTAGGTCTGGCTTGAGAATATCTGGTGTAATTGAATTAGGCCCTCTTGAGCTAAAAGCTGCAACAACTGGAGATGGCTGAATTCCAACTTTGGTGCCTTCAAAAAGAATTGTAGCAGTTGGGTTTGAATCTGATGACAGATAACTTTTAATTAAATCCCCATTTTTTTGACCAACAGAAGTAGCTGGTAACAAGTGAGCATCAGCTACTAATTCTTCACCATTAGCAGCTGTATTAGCTAAAACCATCCCCAGACCACCAGCTTCTTTCACTACAGCTCCTTTTTGAACTCTAGCATTAACTCCACGATCACATAACACTAGCTTGCCTGCAACTTTTTCTGGTATTAAAGAATCCATCATACATAAATTCCCATTTGTGGAATTACTAGCATTACCTGCATATACAAAAGGTAAAAGCTTTCCAGGCAAATTACTTCCTTTAAATAAACTCACTCCAGAATAATTTCTTCCATTGCCAAGACTAACAAAAGCAGGGAAATCACGATCCAGAGTGCCAGCCCCTACAGTAGTTATCCAAGGAGCTACATTTGATAAACTATAAGAAGTTGGACCTGCATTTCCAGCTGAGCAAGAAACAAGTATTCCTTTCTCCATAGCTGCAAAAGCTCCAATAGCCACACTATCCTTATAATAATCGGACATTCCTCCGCCAAGTGACATTGAAAGAACATTAACGCCATCTGCAATGGCCTTATCCATGGCGGCTAAAATATCAGAACTAAAGCAACCGCCAAGCCAGCAAACCTTGTACACAGCAACTCTAGCGTGAGTAGCCATTCCACGCGCCGTCCCGGCTGCATAACCGAAAAGACTTGCGCCTTCCACCACCGAACCACCCGCCGTTGATGCAGTGTGAGTGCCGTGGCCATCATCGTCTCTTGGCGATTTAGATTCCTTGGATTCATCGATTGGGCCTAATGTGGCCTCGTAGCCATTCCCGAAGAATCTAGCGCCAATTAATTTCCGGTTACAATTTGCAGAGGTGAAATTGGTACCCGATTCACACTGGCCTTTCCAAGTAGCCGGTACCGGACCGAGTCCCGTATCGGCAAAGCTCTTGCTTTCCGGCCAAACACCGGTGTCCAAAACACCAATAATGACATCACCAACTGAGTCAGACTGGGGGAACATATCAGCACTTTTGTCGAGTCCGAGAAACTCAGGTGAACGAGTGGTGTGTAACTCGTATCTTAACTCGGGCAACACAGAGAGAATCCCAGGTTGGTTCTCGAGTAACTCAGCTTCTTCAGGGGTTAAGCGAGTTGAAAACCCATGAATAGCATTGTCATAGAAATAAAGCATTTGAGCTGAACCGGAAACCGATTTGAGAGACGAATCGTACCAGTGAACATGTTGTTCGAAACTGGCCGGCATCTGGGATTTGGCCATGTGAACAATGTAAGTTTTCTTGTCCTGTTTCTGAGTCGTTGCCATGGAAGCATGGCAAAGACACAGAAGAAAAAGAACAACAGTATTCATCTTCATGTTCATCCCTGAATTTGAGAGAAGCAGCAGAGAGAAAAGAGATAGAAAAGAAAAGCAGCCCGCAAGCTCTGCTTTAATAGAAATGGAGAGAGAGACTGTGAAAGACCCGGTGGTGGTTGTCTGTTTCTTTGAATGATTGCTTCGAGACAAAAATGAGAGAGATGTGAATACAGCTCGAGCTTGAGAAGAAAAAAGAAAGCCACTGATAATTTGTGATGTGTGTACTAGCTTTCATCACGTGTGTTCCGGCTTTTGTCCATGCCTCTGGTGCTCCTGCTACTACTGTTACTGCCACCGTTTTTTTGCTTTTTATCTTTTAGCAGAGCCTCTTTTAGAAGATAGGTTACGAAGAAGATATAATCAAACTTTCTTTACTGATTATTGTGTTCAAAAATTTTAATTAAACACGAAATCCCATTAATCTTTCCTAATTAATTTTGATTATTATGAATATATTAAGGGGATCTAAACCATAGTCTTGGATTGGTGGGGAAATTATATAAATCTGTAGCGTGAAGTTAATTTATAATTGATAGGTGCAGAAGAGAGTGGAGGGAAATCTTGAATCTTATGAGTGGTGGTTCACGGGTACTTGTCTCGCTCGAACAAGTAAAAATGACAAAGAAAGAAATAAAGTTTTAATTACCTTTAGTTGTTGAGTGTTAATGTGGAAGTTTACCGGCCAACAAACTCTAACCTTTTAGTTTTAATTTCTTTTTAAAAATTAAATAAACAAATAAATGGAGCTAGTGGATGGAACATGAAAATATCTCCGGATTACCACCGTTATGAATGATTCATTTCCAAAATCGAATTATTTTTTACGCGATTTTAAAATTATGATTTTGATTTGAAATTTTAGATAATTTGGAATTAGGCAATGTATGTGATTTTCACTTAAAATTTATTAAAATTAATTGAATTGATCTAAACTGTACGTAATCGATGAGTTTGGTTCAATTGTTTAGAAATTTGTTACAATTTCAATTTAAGAAAAAAAGAGAGAAATTTGAGATTTAGTCTAGTAGTGTGATTCAGTTGACTATCCAATTGCCATTTTGCACACCCCTACAAGTTAGATATTTTCTTAAACAAATCAAATTGGCATTAAATTAAAATAACACTTGTTAAAATAAGATTAACTTTAAGCAATGATTTTCGATTCAATTATGAATATATGGTTCGATTTTTGATTCCAAACTATGTATTTACAATTTATCCTAATTCTTATATTGAAGAACTAAAATTATTGTTTTAATTTGAAATTGCAATTTTAATTTGAGACCATAGAATAAAATATAAAAAATTAAAAAGTCATAGAAACTCTTAATCTTTTTTTTTTTTTTTTTACAATTCGTTAAAACAAATTTTAATACATTTTATTAAATTAGCGTATTCAATATTATTATTTATTCATATTATAAACTGAAAAATTAAACTGTATCGAATATTTAAATTATCGAAAAATAAAATTTGAATTAGATTGGTTTTTCAGGTTTAACCGAATTCTGGTCACTCTTATTATTTGTTGAATTGATTAAAAATAAATATTCATAATTAATTCAAATTAAAAAAAGAAAATTGATCAAAATATTAAAATTTAGGAGAGAAAACGAGATTTCGTGCGTTCCAATGGCTAAAAGCGAGTGTTACAATTATAATAAGGAACGGTGGGCCCTGAGGATCACATGTACTCATTGGATGATGTAACCGGGTTTCAATTATCAATTAATAAATAGAAAACGTCTTACGATTTGATTACTTTATTCACGAGATTAGTCTCTTTCAGAATGAGACTGCTAAGAATTCACTGCATCAAACTTCAAACGTAGACTGCTAAGCTAAGTCACAGGTTCCATACACTCTCCTGTATGTTGTATGTACTTTCTGATTCTTACCCATTCTTGGGTTTTCTTACACTTCATTTTATAGCTTATATTTATATTATATGATATGATATGTTATAAGACTGCTTAAATTATACTATTGTAATAATATTCTTATGTCATTTTTTTTTTTTTTTTATTTTCGCCGAGAATGAGAGGTCATATCAAAATTTTTTTCTATCATAGTGTTCACTATTTTAATGATGATGTTTAGTTTGAGGTAAATAGCTAGAAAAGTATAACTTCCTGAAATCTCTATATATATATATATATAGTCTATTCTCTCTCACACAAGCAAAGTAAATTCTTTTAAAATAATTAAAGAAGTTGCAATTTTTTATTTAAGTTCAGTGATTTACCAATTTATCCTATATATTCAAATTTATATTATGAATATTATTTTAGTTTTTAATTTGATAGCAATTTAATTTGTGGGAAGTTGATTTACTATATTCAAATTATATTTTGTGAGGAATGATTTTCTCGAAACTGTACTTGAAAAATATACTTACTAGAAAATAAGCCATTTTAAACTAACAGAGGTATAAGAGAAATATTATTCCAATTACGTCGACCCCCAAATATATTTTGACCTATTAATCTTTCCGATAAACTAAAAAAATATATATTATTATTCTATTATAAAATCTTTTGGAAAAAAAAAAAACAACATAAAAACCCTTCAAACAACCATTAAAAATGAAATTACCGTAAAAATTAATAATTTAGTACATATTACAACCATTAATAATTTCTTTAGTAACCGTCACAAGCAATGGCAATATCACCCAAATCGCTTCACTTCTTTAAATAGTTTTAAAAATCAGTATCAGTTTGGAAATTTGTTTTCAAAAGCAAATTATTTTTGTCAATAACTCTTACTAATTAATTTGTAATACAAATTAATTTTAAAAATATAAATTTTCTAAAGAATTAATCTATTTAATTCACAGTTTTCTAATATCCATAATATTCAAAATTGGCAGCTGGCCAATTCTTGCATTATTTGCTTATTATATCTTACTGGCTTCCAACCTGTTAATGATTGCCTTTTCAATAATTTGCAGTTCACCATAAGTTCACATTTTTCTGTACATTGAATGGTCTTTTTTTTTAGCAGCAAAAAAAAAAAAAAAAAAAAAAATGTAGCAACTTGAAATGGTCTTTTTTTTTAGGCAGGCAAAAAAAAAAAAAAAAAAAAAAGGGATCATTTTAATGATTAAAAAAAAAAAAAAAAAAAAAAAAGGGATCATTTTAATGATTTGAATTAATCTTCCACTGTTTAATTTAAAAAAAAAAAAATAAACGTGGAATCTCCCACTGTTTAATTAAAAAAAAATAAAAATAAACGTGGAACATCTTTTTGTCATATTTTGTTCAACGAATCTTTCTGAAGGTTATCATGAATATACTAATGGGATTATGAGAATCTTTAGAGTAATTAAAAGCTAAAAATCTTAAATAATATTATCAATTGTTTTTTTTCAATTTTAGTATCCAATCTTTAAAATTATGATTGAAATATAATTTTATCAACAAATATTAATCCGATGGCTAAATTTTTATCATTTAACGGATTAATTTAAGAGAATGATGCAAGTAATTAGATGGACAATATGAGGAATTAATATAAACTTCACATGGATAATCCAGTTGGTTGGGCAGAAACCCGATTGACACTTGGAGTTCCAACCTGCCACATGTGCCCTAATTATTAGTTTGTCTCTGCAACTTCCATTTCCTGCCTACCATTGTTTACTTCCTATTATTATAAATTTTTTTTTTTCCTTCGTTATCCCATTTTTATTTAATTCATACATTGATTGATATTTGTTTTTATCTAGAAGAAGGGGGAATGGGAATTGGGAAAATGCCACCGTTTTAAGGAATTCCTTTCTGTCATTATTATTATTATTTTAATTCATGGAGGCTAATTATCCAGAAATATTAATATTTAAACTCCCATGCATCATGTATAAAATTTTAGTCATCTTTTTGTCAATATTCAAGAAATTATGATCATCTAAATGTGCCAGATTTTTCGTGTCTGCACATGCAGAAGTCCAAATGCTCACAAGTTACAACAACATATATATACTACTTCTGTTTTTCATGTATTATTATTTATCTAATAATAATAAAGATATATTTTATTTGCATTTCAACTTTTCTATGTAACTTTAAAAACTAATTTGAACGTAATAATTTATTGAATTAAATAATTAAATAATAATATTAAGAATTAATCATTAAATGTTTAAAAATGATACATCGTATCATTTTATAATTGTAGGTTATTTTATTTTTTATATTATTTTAAAAGTTGTATAAATCTCAAATTAATGTTTTAAATATAAAAAATTGTGCATAAATAATTAAAATTTATAACTTTAGTGAAGTAAAAATTTTTAAAATTTAAAGTGCAGTAAAATTTATGGGAGTATAAATTAAAAATATTCCGCGCATAATAAGCGGAATTTATCACATCAAAATGTAGGAAATTGGGAGTGTTTGCATCAAGAGGAGATTACATTAAATTTCATGGGTTTTGGGTTTGGATCGGGAGGCATTTATGATGAAGCAAGCAACCCAACTATTGCTCTCGTTCTCGAAAGCTGTACTTAAGAAGATCCAAGAAATTTATGGCCAGGGAACTGTTAGTCAAGCTGCTGTCTGAAGTAGCCTACGACACTAGTACACGTTCCTTCATTGCCCATTACTATAATGCATCACCAGCTTCATCACCGATTGAGGCCATGTGTACGTGGTGCAATAAATTGTGTGCACAGATAATATCCACTACTGTCCTTATCACGCGGCTGACATATGTAATTACAAATTATGTTAATTAATTTTTTTAATAATAAATAAAATTTACAAATTTTTAAGATTTTATCTGAATTTTTGTATCTGAATAAATATATAAATTTACTTTTATATCTATGAAAATTTTATAAAAATCTAACTTTAAAGGGGAATCTTTATATTTTAAAAAGTTACGAATTATATGTTTTCACACTTCTTTATGCTAATAAGAATAATTTTCTTTATCTTATTGATAATAATTTTTAAAGTTTTTAATATTTAAAATATTAATTTGAAAAATAATTGAATAATTTTTGTTTAATTTTAAAAATATTTAATAAGTTTTTTCACACTCCAATAATTGTGGAAGAGCTCCCGGCCTCCCACAAAGTATATTCATCCACCACCATCGCCTTATGGACAAGGATCCTGTCCTAACTCCTAACATTGGTCTGAACAGGCTTAGAAAAACGACCAAATATATCAAAACTAAATATCTTATCATTTAGACAAATATTTTCACTATCGGTGACATTTTGGTTATCAAGGGAAAAATATTTTTTCGATCTCTGGACAGTGCGTGTGTGTATATATGTTCGCTCCCTGGCTGAACTTGTTCGGTGGAGTGCTCAATTCGGCCCAACAAAACAGGAGCATGTTGGGCCAAATATTTCTCAACGCCCACATTTAAAACGAAAGGTCATTCACCCGAGAACGACGAAAACGTCATAAACGACCTGCCGCTCAAAGTATGAACACGTAGGTAGCTTGAGATGAACGTTCACTGGATAGTTGGTTCATAAACAACTTGCAAGTAGCGGGAATTATCTCAGGTTAGTTTCATTGAAAACTTGAACTTTAACTGATCGTCGTCGTCGAAATTATGATGGCATCATTACTGTTACTACCACGACAACGAGTTTTAAAACGACAATGTTATCCACGTCCCACAGACTAACCCTGAAAGTCTTATGTGGCTTTCTGTAGGCTCGACATTTTTCAAATGCCATGCAATGTTTCGTTACCATAGCACTTCCCTTCCCATCCCAACCTCTCTACCGTCTCTTCGTCGTCTATCAGTAGCAACTCCATTCCTATTTCGTCCAATAATCAGAAAGAGAAATTGCAAATGTAAAATGGTTTTCGCTTTAATTTCAATTCGATCAGTTCACTGCAGTGACAGAAGAAAGCTCTGGTATATCTTCTTGTTGTCGAATACGGGTTTTAGAACTCAGTTCTTTAGCACCAGCACTGACTCGACTCGGTCCGAATTTTCGGGAGAAAATGCGTACGATATCTTAGGAGTTTCGGAAACCAGCTCATTCGCCGAAATCAAAGCCTCGTTTCGAAAATTGGCCAAAGAAACTCACCCGGACCTCGCCGAGTCAAAGAATGATTCATCAGCCTCTCAACGTTTCATTCAAATCCTCGCTGCTTATGAGGTAGTGTTGATTGAGGACACCTCTATTTTTTTTTTATTATTATTATGAGTTTGTTCATTTAGTCTTTATATCTGCTTCTGGTGATCATTTCCATGTCACTGTGATTGAAGCATCTTGAATGTAATTGATCTGTGGAAGTCAGTTTTTGATACAGTAGCCAAAAATTTGATGATTCTTCTCAATTTCGGTTACCTATCTGTTTTTTTTGAGGCATAATATTAGCTTAGTTAGTAATTACAGTTGCCAAAACTGAAATTCAATTGGAAACAGCAGAAGCTCAAATGTGTCTTATGATAGTGCATAAACTTGTAAAAATTGCACAAGCTTTGCGTTATGGGCAGTTAGTATTATATGGAAGAGCCGATATTTTAGGCCACCACCAACCAATCCGGACGTTTTTCATGCTGGAAATATGTTATATACAATAATATGCGTGTATCGTAGGTGATATTATAGGTAATTTATATTGTTTCTGCATGTTTTTGGTGTTTGGCGTTTGACTGCAAGTGTAACCAATGTTCAATAGTAAATTGCAGATTCTTTCAGATTGTGAGAAGAGAGCCCACTACGACAAGTATCTGATGTCTCAGAGAAGAGTAGTGCAGAAATGTTCTGGAGAAGGTTCAACATTGTACATGTATAAATCCCATATGACGACTACTAAACATATGGAAGTTGTTGAATGGTTGAAGTGGTATAGATTGGCTATAAATGATATATTGTTAGAGAAGAAGGTGGTGGTTGGAACAAGCTATTTTGATGTACTTGAAGCTGATTTTTATTCAGCAATTCATGCAGCTTACTATGGCCCTGCAATTGAGTCTATGGATCTACTTCCAGATTGTTTTGAGGCTGAGGAGAGGTCTGTTTATGAAACTCCAGAAGTTATGCACTTGGTTTCGGGACGTGACCTTTTTGGGATGGTCTGCCTAGTTGATAAAATTCCTGAATTATCTTCTGCTTACACTAAAAAATTGAATTCTTTAACGTCTGCTGGTCTGGGTATCTATGGCTCTGTTGAGAACACTAACCTCTTCATGAAATCTAATGAAGAAAATGATGTTGGATCTTCTCAGATACATACAAGGAACAGTTTAACTCATGTATCAGATGCATATAAAGATTTGGAACTGCATGTAGGTGGAAGGGTAGTTGCTGTGGCCACTAGGATCCCTCCTAAAGACCAATATAATGGTTTTCAGAATGAAGATGCGCAAGATCAAATACACGTTTTTCTTAACTCGGATGATAATTCCACAAGTATTAGAAGAGGATTTTCCCCAGATTCCATTTTGGTTGGTGCAGTTGGACTAAGGATTCCACTGGGAACTATAACTGGATTGGGGAATAGCTCTGAAGAGGGATCTTGCTTTGTCTATGATAAAAGTGGTACAAAAACCCATGTCCTAATGAAACATAGAACATTGCTGGTTTGTAATGGACTTCTCCTGTCTGTATCAGTTTTTGGTTACATGATTCTTGACATACAAATTGGGCTTCCATTTCTATGCTTCAGCTTGATAATTCACGTTTCATTTTGCTGTTGGTTATGTGGAATAGGCAAAGATTACGTAATTGTCTCTCTTGCATGCTTTGTGTAGTATATTCAATATGCTTTTTTACTGAATTGCTGGAACATCTGCTTTTGGGTTCGAGGTTTCTCCTTAGCTTGTAATGAAGTTGAAGAATTGTTTCATTGCTGTCTAATACATCACTAATATCTGATTACATTGATTTAATGGAAGAGTAATCCAGCTTAAATATTCTTGCATGATAGTGTTTGATTTACCTTTTCTAAAATTCATCTGCAAGACGAGTAGTATTTATTTTCTTCCTTTTTTAAGTATTTTTTAGCTATGCTTTGAGTTATTGCCTGTCTGTCTTTTTCTGGCAATAAATAGATATTTGCTAAACTTGGCTACTGTTATCAACTTGCATATTGGGTGAGATTTGCTGTGGTGTGTATTAATTCTTTGTGTATTATGATGATTTACCATTCAACCTTTGCATTTGACTAAGGCGAGCGTTTGATCAAATAAGATAGATTATAAAGGAAAATATACAGCCTTATAGTTCCATATCAACAGTGAACCATCGGGAAGCGCATATGGTTGTATTTGCTTGCATGTGGTTGGTCTTATCAATTACTTTCCTTTGGAACTTTTCAGGTGAAGCATATGCACTGGTACGGAGTGGGAGATGAAGTATCTGTTTGTGAATGTAGGTGCAGTAGAGCTCGATTACCACCAAGCAAGTAAGAAGTGCAATTTCAATTATTCCACATTGTGGATGAATTATTCGTTAATACTTAAAATGTAACATGTTGGGATATCAAGTGTGAGTGGAACTCCCACTTTAGAAAAACAATGAACAATGTGGATGGTGTATAAGTGGAAAAACCCATAAACTAATTGCCTTAAGGTTTGAGTTGAAACGTGGTGTCTAGTCCACGAATTAGATCTCCCAAGGATTTTGGGTTTCCCAGTTCTAACACAATGCAACAAACCTAACTCCATTTATTTTCTGTTACATTGAGTGGAATATACCATGCCTTAGATCCCTAATAGTTTGGAGGTGCGATTTACTGGAGTTGATCCAGTTGAGTTCCTTTCTTGATGAGTTTTATGGAGTATGTTTACTAAAAATTACAGGTGCTGTCCTGTTACAATAGTTAATTGTCTTGTTCTGGAATTTATATTTGCAATAAAATAAATCTTGAGGGCTTCCACTGTGTTTGCCCACTGCAATGGTGTCTTATGAACTCACCATAGTTAACTGTCTGCAGCCACCATAGTTACCTTGCTTTATTTCATTTATGTGGTATTCAGGCTGATACTATTTTGTGCAGATTTAATTCATATTTCAATAACACACTGTGCATTAGTTGTTCATACTCTGTTAAATGGTTTTAGGCTTCCTTCTAACTGCGTTCACTAGTTGACGTTGATATCAATGTGCGACTTATATTCTTGTTCATTTTTAATGAGATATCATATGCACACCATGCGAGACCCTTCTGCACTCTGATGTATATTTATTTTTCTGTTAAATTGTCTTATTGAGCTCTTGCTACAGATTTTGGCTGTTTGAGCCTCGTTGCAACATGCATGATATTGGTGGTTGGTATGTTGAAACATTTGGTAGGGATAAGAAAGGTCGGACGGTTCTATCTCAGAGGCATTGGGATGGCTTTAATGGCAGTGAACAATATGACAAGTAAGTATATGTCATGTATTCTTCAGGAAAATTTGAGCTTTGTCAATTTGCATAGTCCCTCTCTTGCTTTGCATGATAAAATTTTAATAAGGGCAGGAGTACTTCTAGACTTGTTGGCTCTGACAACTACTACTCTAACATCAAGTTGGTGGTTTATAAAATCTTACGATTCTGGATGCAATATTGCGGACTGTCCACCGATTCTAGTAAAAAAAGCAATGTTGATAACCTTGCATGTTTCAGATTTGAAGTCCTATAAAAATTTGAACAATTATGTTTTATTATTTATGTCATTGCAGGAGACTCCATCCAGCAATGTATTTAATTGCTCTTGCATATAGAACTTTAGATCTCGAAGATGCCAAAAGAAGGAAGCAAACATTCAGGCATATTGTTGAAGGTCAACTACTTAGAATTCTCCATTGGTGCAAGAAACTTGTTTAGCAGTGAACTCTAAGGCCTTTAAGATGCGATATTCTGCTTAACCTGTCTGGCTTCGTTGAGTGCTTTAATAATTGGTTCTGAGGTTGATCGGTGATTTGTCATTGTGCATTACCATTTAATTGGCCAAGGCAATTGCTATAGCAAGTAGAAATATTTTCTGCGATATATCTGTTGGGATATTTTGTAGGACAATTCTTTGGAATTCTTGGTGCACCAATTTTACGTGAAGGGGAAGGCATTTTGGGTGTTGAACATCAGACCTAAATGCTTTGGTTATGGCATATTCAAATGATTATTCTGTTTTCAAGCTTCAAGAATAAGCTTATATTGGATTTAGAGTGAATTCTTCAAAATCCATCATTCCAGATCGAACTGGATTGCCGGCAATTTTTTCAGAATCTATAACTGTGAATCCAGCCCATGTAGATGAGTTCAGTGGTATACGGAAAACATGGTTCCTTTCAATGCTGCTAACAAGGTCTGGAAAGATGGATCATTGAATACCTTCAGGGACACAACTCTCTTCTTGTGCCTTGTCATCTATTCTAATAGCATATATTTGCCAACATTTGCACCTATGTGTTCTTGAAGTTATTCTCTGGCATTGTCCATCATCATGGATGGGAGAGGTGATATTCCTGTGTCTCAAACATTGTTGATCTAAATATCATACAAATATGTGTCTTAGCAGTTGATTTGGATGTGGATCACAGGAAGTGGCTTGTTGGGGAGGATATCAATGGTATCTTGAGAACAATTCAATTGCATTAGTGCAACTGACCAGTGCTTCTTTTGCTGCTTTCTATGTATACTTTGTTATAATAAACTTCAGGCCCAACTGGAAACTTTGCTGTATTTTCTTTTTGATTCCAGGGGTCTTGTATGTAGGTGAGGAAACTGGCTTCTTGTGTTGTACTCTTGTAGGTAATCAAGATATTGGTTTATTTTATTTTCCCAGAATATTATTTTCTTTCTTTTGCAGGTGTTTTCTGATTTTGGAAAATCTAGTTGGTTCCTTAAAAATAAAGGCTAAAAGTTTAAACATAAATCATATGCCATTTGACACAAATTACAAATATATGCAACAGAGGATAGAACCACGCCTTTTTTTTCCCATTATTTAAGTAGATCTTCCCATTTACAGTATTGCCCGCCTGCTAATGCACGATAATATCTATCTCTGCAGTAGACCGGTCTTCCATCAGCAGCCTTGGCAGCAGCTGCTGCTAAATCATCATCAGCCACAACCTCCACTGGTAAACTGAGCAGCTCTTCTTTTCTATCATATGTACAAAGGTGTAAGAATTTAAATAAAGTGTGCAAATGGGGGATGGGAGCCGTAATCTTAATAGTTATGCTCATACCCAACATTATACTTCATGTTGATGCTTGAAGCTGGATCATTTAACGGACTCTTTTTTGTGGCAAAGTTGTTTTGAAAGAAATCCTCCACTGGTGTGGCGAAGATAAACAGTAATACTGCTGTAACTAGTAAAGCACCTGTTCCAACTAGTGTTTGTTTCAACATTTTGATAACTGGTTTGACCTGGAGGCATGAAATTTCCTTACAAAACCCATTTGTATTAAAAAGCTCAGAACTCTAATATATGCTGCTTAGGAATTCAGAAAGACAGGATGACATAATCATTTACAGCCTATACCATAAGAACAACTGTGTTTTGATTCCTTGGTATTGGCAGGAGCCAGAGAACTGCAATTTCTTCTATACATTTGTGCATTTGCACTTGCATACTTCTGTTGCTGCTATCCAAGCATGTATATATGCTTGACTTGTTCTTATAAGATACTTATGTTCCATTCAGTTCTCCTTTTATTCTCTTTGGTTGTTTTGTTAAACTGTGCACATGTAGTTAGGGTTTGATTTTTCTAGTTTATAGTATAAACATCTGTTATTTCTTTTTCCAGTATTATGAATTGGATTTTACTCATATGCATTCTTACCTTGTAAGAGCCCAATAGTCTGTCACGAGCCAGGACCTGCCAGGGGAAAAATGGAGGTAAGTTATTAATTTCTGATGTCAGTCTACTGCAGTATGAATGGTGGTCCATATTTGTTGGTTAGTAGCTGTAATCATCACATATATTCATATCCAGGCTATCAAATTGACTAACTACTCTGGTAGAACATTTCAGAAAGTTGCAATAGGGATTTTGGTCTGCTTTAGATGTGACACTTTTACCCGTCTGATACTTGGTAACCGTTTAAAGACAGGCTAACTGAGTTTTTACACTCCAGTGTGCTTGGTTAAGGACATTTTGGCTGCCAGTGATCTCATACAGCGAAGTGGTAACATGAGCTTGTATTTTAGTTCTCTGCATTCTTATAAATTAAGCATGCTATATTTATACAAAGTAATTTTATTCTAATGCCATTTCTTTTATCTATTCTTTTTGCAGTAATCTGGCTGTCTTTTATTAGGTATAAACCTATTATTATGCCTTGACATGTCCTGACAAAGAAGAATATGTAATGTGAGAGAGAGAGAGAGAGAGAGAGAGAGAGAAGAGAGAGGGTGCGAACCTCTGGTGGCTTTACCCACATTTGTCCATCATACCATCCACTCTCTTCATATGGGATCACTGCTGATAGAAGTCTGTCTCCAACATAACTCCATCCCTTCAATATGCATGTTCAAATGAGTTAATATTTTCAACAGGGATTCTACCTGAGATACTAACAAGACAAATGTTTATGAGTTCATTATGAACTAAAAACTAAAGAGGCAATCACTAAAACTATGGTGTAGCAATTTGGTAGAATAAATAGTTTCACTAATAAAATATGTTAGATAGAAATTGCTTTTCTTCCTTCTTTAGTGTTCTTTCAAATCCTTGCCTGGATGCTTGTATCAAACCTCTCATTCATCTGGTTCTATCAAATAATTTATATAGGGTCAGTTATCCTAAACTAGGTAAAGTTAAGAGGATGTAATGAATTTTAAGTGACTATAATTTCTGTTAATATTCGTTACACTTGATTTTACATAGTTTTGGTAATTATATTCAGTTAAGTATACTATTGCAGACTAATTACCAAAACTCTGCCCTCAACTGCAAAAAAATTTTGACGACTGCCATTTGCATAATTGTCCCTCTTTATATATGTCAACTTCTTCATATCCTATAGTGGTGTTGATTTTTTAATTAGATCAAGTGAGCTTCTCTATGTGGAGCAGTTTTGCAACTACTTGTGGGTTCTGTCCCAATGGGGAAAGCACCTTTTGGGGCTATAAACCCTGAAACTCATTTATCTTGTTGGTGAGTCGACAAACTTAGATTGCGACCGCTTCTTGGCTCCATCTCATGTAGAGAAACTACATTTTTGGGTACACAAATAAGAGAAGTATTTACAGTCATTTGAAATTAGCATTAATGGCAAGAGAGTGATTAATTATTGGAAATGTAGCATTGCTATAATGTTTTTCCATGGAAAAAATCATTTGTGCTATGTTTTTGAACAAATATGTACTAACTGCCTGGGCCAACTGCTTTTTTGTAAATGAGCTCACACATGCATGGGCATGTCGAAAGAGCTGTTATGTTCTCTAGCGACAGAATGAACTTTATGTAAGACGTGCAATATGATGATCATACCAGATAAATTCTTAGGACAATTAATGACACAATGAGTAGAGTTCCTGTTCCAGCAGCTAGCGCAAATCTTAATGGCTCCTGCAAATTTGGAATGGAAAATGAAGTTGTAATATAGATACCAGTTCAAATATAACTATAATTGTAATGTAGCTGCTTTACATTGGTTCTTCACATAATTGTTTATCTTGTGTTGTTTATCTCGTATTGTTTCAGTTGTTGATTTCCAAAATATGATGTTTAGTTTTGAAGGTGAGAACTTGGAGAGGTTGCATGTTTACATTTGTTAGAGAAATTTGTAACAACGAAAGCATTCTTTTAAGATCTGTAATGTTATAAGCCAGTTTTGGTCTAGTCTGGAAGGTGTTCCAGTTGACATTTATTTGCTTACCTTTGCAGGATTGAAACTTGCAGCTGCAATTGGAACTCCAAGAACTGTGAAGGTTACTAACCAAAGACCTCCAAGACGAGCAAAAAGAGGTCCAGGACCCAGTTCACCCCAAGAATACAATGCTCCATCTTTAAGAGATTCATATTCGTTCACCTATCACAGACACGGAAATGAATTAATCGCTGCAAGTACGAATAAGCTCTTCTATCTAGAAGTAGAGATAAGCCTATTTCAACAAGTGCGTAATAATCTCTCTCTCTCTCTCTACTTACTTACATATATATACATATATAAGCACACCAGACCACAGCATACTTCCGTACGGCACGTACATATTCAATTATACATACTGCTTTTAATGAAGCAAGTCTGCTCAGTATGGTATTTGCATGGCCATAGAGTAAAATATAAAGTACACATACCGGTCTTTGTTCAAAAGGGACTTCAATTTCCAAGCCAGGATTCCAGCTTCGGCCCGGAGAGCTACTTGTGCCTCCATCTGTCTCATCCTTTAAGGCCTTCACTGAAACTGTGGAAAATGATTTCTTGGTAAGATGGTACCTAATGATCCATGAACTATAGCTGCTTCCAATTTTGATTTGCCTTTGACTAGGGATTAAAGAGCAGTAAACATTTAGCCTTAGCATTTGTGTTTCTGGCGCTGGCTGGTCAAAGTTTAACCATGTTATTGCAGCAAACAAATTCTGAAAAACTTTCCCTCCGGTTTTTGGTGGAGAGAGAATTATGATCTACTCGTTCTCTACTTAAACTTATGGCCGCTTATTCCGTTTTTGACCATGCATTATTTACATGGAGGAAAACAATGGAGACATCGTTTTATTTATTTCTTTGAAGGAGAAGATTCTTTAAGACAGGAACCTCTTAATTTAAGATCAGAAAACTCTCTTCTAAACTTCAGATTTCCGTTGTGGTCCTGTTAGAATGCGAGATTTGTTCTTCCCATCTGTCCACGTGCCCCTCTTTTCTGCCGTTAATTCGATGGGCCATTTAAGATGATCCTAATTTTGAGACTTTTCATGCGATATTTTATGTGGATGAAGGAAGAAATAGCTTGCAAAACGTGGCAGCTGCTAACTTGCACGCAATTTTGTGTGTACTTAGCAGGTTTGCACGGGCATATGAGAGAGAGTATTATCTTGTCGTCTTTGATACTATCCGGCTAGACCAGGCCTTGTAGGTAACTGTGTCTTTCAAGCTATGCTGGGATGGGAAAAAAAAAAAAAAAAAAAAAAAAAAAAAAAAAAAAAAAAAAACCAGAAATGAACCAACCCTCTCTGAAAAAAAAAAAAAAAAAAAAAACAGAAATGAACCAACCCTCTTCTGAGTTTTGAGCAGATAAACGATAGCAGCGGAAACAACAAGAAGAGTCACAAATCTTAGGATGGTAGTTATTAAATGTCTTGTTCTTCTAATCAAAAGCGAGTCTTTGTAGCAAATAGCAAAGAATTGCAGTGAATATGAATTAAGTGGGGTGGGATTTCGCGGGTATCAAATCAGTATTAAATTTATTATATAATGGGTATACACCACCCATCAAAACCTATTAATAATTTAAAAATGTATAACAAAATATTGCAATTGAAACATTAAGTATATATTGAATTTGGATATAAAAGATTAATTTAGAAGGATTGGAGGATTATGATGTTATTTTCTGTAAAAATTTTGTACTAAATTTTTTAATTTATGAACGAATCTTATTTATAAAGAATTTTAATTTATATTTGTATGTTAAGGTGACCTAATTTTTTTATATATTTTCTTAAATTTATTTAGGAAAATTTGATAGTTAATTGAGATTTATTTATAATTTTTGCTTGTTTTGTTTTAAATGAAATGGACTTTATAAGGTATTGAACCCATAAACAGAGTGAATTTTTTAATCTGTCAAAGCCCATTTAAAGTAGGTTTATATATTATTCAAACAGGTTAGGATGTAAATTGGATATCCACTTCTATCTCTAGCAATGAATATAAGGAAACTTGGTTGTAAATTGGAATTGCATATTAGATTTTGATTTTGTAGTCTCTTTCATCGCTCTCTCTTAATTAACTATCCAAATTGTGATTTGAGCTTATTTAAGAAAAGGAAAGGCGAAACGTATATATGACAAAAGGGTGAACTTAAGAGAATTGCATTGAAAATTAGAATATCACAAGAAGTTTGGATTTGGTTACCTTTTAATCTCTCTCAATTAACCATCCAAAATAGTTAAGGAAATCCCGAAAGATGGTGTTAAAATTTTTGAGTTCCACATAGTAGACCTGCATTTTCTTTTACATGTTTATCAAAAATTAACAAAAACATTCCTTTTCTTTTTTCTGTTTCGTTTTCCCAATTCTTCTTGGCCTCATTGCCGTGCATATTGGTAGTTCTGCTATTACTTGCTGAAACGTACCTTCCACATTTGGGGAATTAATTAATCAAGTATGATGAAAACTATGAAGTTGGAAAATGACTCCCTTTTGGTCTTGATGGCTTATGACTAGGCGTATGAGTACATAAAGAACAGTCCTCATTTATATAAATATATAAAAACTTTCCACTTCCACGTTGGAGATCCAAATGTCTATTTTTAATGAATGATAACTTGGTATGGGAATGCTACATCTTGAACTAACTATTCTTTTTCTTTTTTTTTTTTTTTTCTCTTTTTCAAGTAATTGTGTCAGTGTGATATTACAAATTTAATTTTGCTCATCAACTTAAATCAGTTTTCTCAATTTTATTGAAGTCAGTCCATTCACATTGAAGTTAAAATTAAACAAGTCATAAGAATAAATTTTGAATTTTTTATGATTTAGCCACAAAATCAAGATGCTAATCAACAAAGTAGGAGAAAAAAAATTTTGTCAACTGGGCTAAGCAGCAGCAACAACAACTTACACGTTTCTTGTGTTTCATGCGTTGCTAGTGTTGGTCTGTTGCGACTTGACATCCATTTGTAGAATACTTGTGACATTAGAAAAGGGCATTAATAGTTATATATGCACATTAAACAATTTCAATACTAGGGTTAGCTTATGACAAATAAAATTATATTGTCTTAGGCTGGATGGTAAGGATGATATTTTAAAAATTGGAAAAGATTTTATTAAAGCTAAATGGTAAAACAATTGTTCTATGCCATGGACAATTTAAAGTTCTACGGTTACTTTTATTTGGCAATATATATAAATTCAATCGGTTACTTTTCACCAAAGATTTAATAGTATCTAAAATTTCGCTGGAAGACCTATAACATCTCTGTAGTTAAGAATTTTAACAGTACTGCACATTTCTCCGAATTAGTAATAATAATTTTTAAGATTTTCGGTCTTTATATATGTAAGATATTGATCCAATATATAGTTAATTCAACTTTTTAAACAAGTATTTTTATATTTTTCAATTATAGAATAAGTATTTAATTTTAGAGGTCTTAATAAGTATAATTTGATAAGTTGAGGTATTAAATTATTGAAATAAAAATAAGGGTGTGATTAAAATTTTTGTGAAAAATAGATGGGTCTTGCATTTTATTATGTACTATTTTCCTTTACACAATTATTGTGATTGCAAATATGAAATTTGTTTAGACTAGGAGAGTAGGATGTTAGAATTTAATGCTAGATTTTACTATATTAGCCAAATAAACAGGCACATAAGTATGGTAAAGAGTCATAGAGATTCTCCTAGGAAATGATCATATATGGTGTCCTTGACTTGAGGCCCCACCTCCTTTGACTCAAAATACACATGTAAGTAAAAAAAAAAATACCATAAAACCAAAAATAAATTTCTGTTCCTGTGGGCTTTGAGCCTTTTTTTTTCTTCATTACTATAAAAAGATAGGTAGGTGGACAGCCAGGTAAGTTAATTGGTAATAACCCTTTAGACAAAGTAGAGGCAGAAATTTTATTTACTGTTCCTTAAATGCGGACAAGTGCCCGTTTGACAGCTAAGACCTCTGCAAATGCTTGTCCTGACTCAATAATTACCAAATCCACAGAACCTCTAAATTCTCTCTTCTCTTCTTAACTAAATTCCCGCCCGAGCTCTGCACTTCCAATTCCTTGTCCTTTTTTTCATGCTTCGGATTCGTTTACCCAAAATAAAGGAAAAGAAACTCTGACAAGTCAATTCCACCACCACCACCAATCCAGCAGTGGCAAACAGGGCAGAGAAAAGAAAAGAAAAGAAAAGAAAATAAATAGGATTAAGGACACAAACAGCTAGCTAACTCCGCACATTACGTTTACATACACTTAAACAAGCGATCATCCATGAAAGTGAAAGCAAGTAAAGGAAAATGGAGCTTCAAGCCAAGGCTCGGGTTGACTATTGTTTTTCTCTCTTGTTCTTTCTTCTTCGTGGCGGGTCTTTTTGCTTCCAATTTAATCTCTCAGGTGTGGTGTGATTTTTTATTTGATTTGACGTGTTTTCAAGTTTTATAGTTGGTTTATGATTGATCTTTTGTTGATTGCAGGAAGCTAGACAGAGAGCAAGTTCAAAGCAACTCCAATCGGTGAAAGAGGAGATAATTGAGTATGATTTATTGTCTGCAGGAGAGACCGGAGATGATTCTATTACTGTGATCCCCTTTCAGGTGATTTTCATTTTTTTTTTTCTTTTACTATTATTGAAAATGGTAATGAGGTTGTGTTTCTTGGTTTGTAGATTTTGAGTTGGCAACCGCGTGCTTTGTATTTTCCTAATTTTGCAACTTCAGAGCAATGTCAAAGCATAATTAATATGTCGAAGCCAAACCTTAAACCTTCCACTTTGGCTTTACGAAAAGGAGAAACAGAAGAAAACACAAAGGGAATTAGAACCAGGTTTCATTTTTATATATCTTCATCTTCTGTTGCATTTCAATTAGGAACTATTTGAATTTTGTTTAAAAGATTTTGAATTTACTTGCTGCATATTATTAAAATGGTATTTAGTAATATTCAGTTTAGTCATGTTCATTTTGAATATTGCCTGAGAGGATTGCTGTATATCACTATAAGCTGATGTGTAAAAAGGACTGATTTTTTTATCTTATTCTTCTTCTTTGTTCAAACAGCTCTGGCATGTTTATTAGTGCTTCTGAAGACAAAAGTGGGGTTTTGGATGCTATTGAGGAAAAAATTGCTAGAGCGACAATGCTTCCCAGGGCTAATGGAGAGGTATTTGTGAAACGGAGAATTTCATGCTCTAAATCTCCTATTTTCTTCGTCCTGATACTTGAACTTTTACACCTTATGGAATTTCTTTTTTTTTGTGAATGCGCCTGCATATTTTCTTGTCATGCTAATTCCTGATACTAGAATAAGCATTAATATGCAGATGCTGGAAATCACACGGCAGGTGCCTCTAAAAGAGCCCTGAAAGAGGCTTGTCATCGGGTCCAAATATGAGAAATTGACAATTCCTAAACAGCATACTTCTCCAATATTATAGTTTAAGTTGGATTCTTTTTTCCTTTTTTTCTTTTCTTACTTTTTTTTTTTCCATGTACATTTTACTTGTTCTTATAGGGGAAATGGTATTCTCAAATTAAAAAGAGTTGTCCCTTGCCGTTTCTTGCTACTTTTCTGTGTCGCGTCTTTAACCAACTGAAAGTTATAAGCATTAAAAAAAAAAAAAAAAAAAAAAAAAAAAAAATGGGTATTCTCAAATTAAAAAGAGTTGTCCCTTGCCGTTTTCTGCTACTTTCTGTGGTCGCGTCTTTAACCAACTGAAAGTTATAAAATAAAAAAAAAAAAAAAAAAAAAAAAGAAATGGAAAAGGAAAAAAAAAAAAAAAAAAAAAAAAAGAAATGGAAAAGCTGGGGTGATGAGATATGCAACCCCAGATTAGCTTTTGTAATTTGGAGCTTACCACTGCAGCAAAGCAGCTGATTCTGCAACTTCAATTTCATATATATTCTGTATTTTAACCTTTATATTCATGGCTTCTGCTAGTAAATGCACTCTCTTCATATTTATATTCATGTCAAACAGTTATAATCTGCAAAAATCACCTTCTTAAGCTTCCCAACAGTTATCATGTCTCAAACAATTATTTTATTGAATTATTTGTTTGTCATTTGCGTTGAATTAGTGGACCTTTTATTTCAGGGTAATTTTAAAATTGTCTGAAGATTGCACCATGTTTCAGGCATTCAATGTCTTGCGCTATGAGATTGGGCAAAAGTATAATTCACATTATGATGCATTCCATCCTGCAGAGTATGGCCCCCAGAAGAGCCAAAGGGTAAATCTCATGCAAAAACATAGATTTTCTTCATTCTTTAATTTAATCTATAATGTTTATTTTATGTAATGCATGCATTTGAACCAAGACAAACCATAAATAGTCTCATTGTTTTTGCTTGGACCTCCACCTGACCCAAATCATCCCTGGCAAGATCCGAACCTGAGATATGTTAATAGAAATTCCAATCCTGAATCACGCGTTGCTCTCTTGGAGAAATCTTGTATACTATTACTAAGTGCATAGAGTTATCTCTACCAGTAGTCATTTTTGTGCATAGAACATATGTTCTTGTCAGTTTAAACATGGAAAATCTGTCATCAGAAACACCTTTGGTACTTATATTCTTGATTAGGACCATGAGTTAAAAAGTTTAAGATAATTCTAAACCTCTTCTTATGGACTTGATGCAGGTTGCTTCTTTCTTGTTATATTTATCTGATGTAGAAGAAGGTGGGGAGACCATGTTTCCATTCGAGGTAAGGTCAAGACCTCTTTCTCTCCTCCCTTTTGTTTGACTAGATATAGACATTCATCGCAACTTTGTTCTGCAGAATGGCTTTGACGTTGATGAAAGTTATGATTTTCAAAAGTGTACTGGTTTACGAGTAAAACCACGCAAAGGGGATGGACTATTGTTCTATTCTCTTTTCCCAAATAATACAATTGATCCTGTAAGTCTCTAAATTTGAGCTTCAATACTACGTACACCACATAGGAAACTAACATATAAAGCTGTCAACAGCAGACTATATATATATTTCTGAAGGAGACAAATGACAAATTTCCTTCAAAGTAAAATTTCCTCCTTTGTGTTGTAAGTTATAACTTAAAAGCTTGTTTGGTATCATTATCAATGTTGGTTTTGGTTTTTGTTGTCCAATTTTCAAATAAAATCATACATTTCCTGTTTTTACTCCATGTCTTGAAAGAGAAAAACTCGTGGCCAAAACAAGCAAAAACCTAGTTTTCGTTTCTCAACCAGTTTTCCAAGATTCAACTTTTTCCTTATTGTATAGTATTCCATATTGGTTTTCTTGATGGTCATGTGTGGTTGGTTTTTTGGCAGACATCACTGCACGGAAGCTGTCCAGTAATCAAAGGGGAGAAATGGGTGGTTACAAAGTGGATTAGAGATCAAGAACTCGACGAATAGAATACTTGTACATCCTATCAGTGCAATATTCTTCAACTGTTCCTTTTTTTTTTTTTTTTCTCACTGGACCTCAGAAACAAAAATAAAATTTCACGTAGCTAAGCTAAAATTTTTTTTTCTTTTTGGGTTAATGTAATTTCTCATGCTGACATTCCAAAGTGAGAAAATGATTGAGTATAGTGGTGATATTTTAAATAGACAGGTCCTTATATGTTCTTATGAGCTTCATTTCAAACTACGTTTGGGGAGCCATAATAGAACATAAGTGGATAGACTGGCGAGATGCTGCGGTAAATTATCTTTAATTTAAAAGAAATTAATTGAAAAAATAATTTAATTTATTAATAGTTAAAAAATTAAAGTTACTGTGAATAATTTCTGTCCCTGAAACGGAATTTGGAACTCGCATGATGGATGTTCTTGGCTTGGTTAGCAGTTTTTTGTGTTTCAATGTTGTCATGTCCGATGGTAGGCAAACTCTGTGGCCCATGAGTTAGATACAGCTATTTGGTTAGAGGATGTTCCTCGTTCTGTTTCTCCTTTTGTTGCTACTGATATCTCTTTGATTCCTTTATAAATTCAGTTTTATTCTCAAAAAAAAAAAAAAAAAAAAAAAAAAAGTTAAGGATGTTGTCCTGTTCTGTTTTTCTCCCTTTTGTTTTGCTACTGGATATCCTCTTTGATTCCTTTATAAATTCAAGTTTTTATTCTCAAAAAAAAAAAAAAAAAAAAAAAAATCGTAGTTACGAGAATAATGAATTTTTTTGGATGAATCAAAATTTAAATAATACAATTAAATGAAATAACTAACTAACATAAATAATGATTTTATATTCAGCAAACTTGTTGTGGGGTTAATTTCTGAGACTACATTAAAAATTGTAATAGTTACATTATTTTCTCGCAATTTTTAAAGATTAAAAATTGGAAGAGGAAATTTTTCTTAAAATTACTGTAATCATTCAAAACCTTAAAAAAAAAAAAAAAAAAGATCATAAATAGTAGGGAGTAATTCGCAAAATTTGACGCCACGAGTGCAAGATCAGTTTTTACAATAAAAAATTAAAAATATGAATAGAGTTTGATAAAAAACTTTGTCTTTAAAGAAATTAGTAAACCATTAATAGTATATATTGGATCTATCATTAGAATTTTTTTAATTAATTAATTTTTAAATGAAGTTAACAGAATTCAAATAAAATTAAATTGAAATGTCTTTTCTATATTGTAAAGACTCTTCTATTCTTGTAAATGTAGATGAATTAATTATAAATTTCTATTAAAATTAAATAAATGTTTTTCCATTATATGTATATAAAAGAATGATAAAGTGATATATGAATAATTTTTATATTTTTCATACATAAAATAAGATTGAAAATATTCAATAGTAGTAATTATATTGAATATAAAAAAAAAAAAAAAAAGATATAAATAGTAGAGGAGTAATTGCAAAAATTTGACGCACGATGCAAATCAGTTTAATAAAAAAATTAAAAATATGAATAGAGTTGATAAAACCTTGTCTTTAAAAAATTAGTAAACCATTATTATATATGGATCTATCATTGAATTTTTTTAATTAAAATTATTTTTAATGAAGTTAAAAATTCAATAAATAAATTGAAATGTCTTTTCTATATTGTAAAGACTCTTTCTATTCTTAAATGTGATGAATTAAATTTTATAATTTCTATTAAAATTAAATAAATGTTTTTTCCATTATATGTATAAAAAGAATGATAAGTATATATGAATAATTTTATATTTTTCATACATAAAAATAAGATAAATATTCAATGTATAATTATATTAATAACAAATTAAAAGTAAGTTTTAAAACACATAATTAAAAATCCTCAATTTTATCATTTATTTTATTTTTTTCAAATTAATAATATTTGAAAATATATATATATATAAAAAATAACAAACAAAATCACAGTATTCTCCAAATATCATGCAACTGCGTTTGTAATACATGTGTAAAAATAAAAAAAAGGTGTCAACTCACATAACATTTGTGGGACCTACTTTTACAGCTGAATCAACTTAAAAGAGGGTTATAATTGCCAATTCACTATTCATATTGTTCTATGAACATTGAATTTGGTTTTCATTTTAGGCTCCGTTTGTTTCCGTAATGTAACTTGCAGGAAAATATTTTTCATAATTTTCCGTTGTTTGGAGCGCTCATAAAAATAAATTGACGAAAAGTATTATCCTGATCAGAAGAAAATTAAGTCATTTTTTAAGGAAAACAACTTTCTATTTCTTAGAGAGTAAAACATTTTCCAAATATTGACAAACTTTATAAATCTATATTTTTAATTTGCAAATCATCATAGTAAACTACCGGGCATCATTTACCACCGACCACCACTAGCAGCTTTCATAATTTATATATATATATTTTGCATTCTTTTCATATTCAACAACAAAATTTTTTAAGTTATAAAATTTCCATTATTATTAATATTTTTTATGGTCTTATGAGATAAAAATTTTAATATCTTTAATTAATTTTCAATATTACAACCAAACAACGGAAAATAAATCATTTAAAAAATATTTTTCAAGAAAAATGTTATCCATGAAAATGATTTTCGGCAAATTATTTTATGAAAACAATCGTAGCGTGTATAGATAATGTAAAGCAATTAAAGTAATTTTCTTCCCCTAGTATGAAGTTGACATTAGAAATGCATGAATAAGAGACGAAGCTTTATGTTCGAGATAAAACAAGATCAGTCAAACGAGCTGATAATATTTTGACGACAGAAAAGCAACAATAAATAGAAATTAAAATAGATATAATTTATTTGGAATGACACCTAAAACTAATGTTTTCTTTTAATTTTTAATTTTTAATTTTTAATTTTTTTGGCAATCACTGGATTATTTTAAGCTTGCAAGCTAATTAATTCAAAAGATGTAATAATTTATAATCAAATCACAAATCACAATAACTCATGCGGGGTAAAAGAACAAATGAATTAAAATAAATAAATAAAATCGCAATCAAGAAATGAATTCAAAATATTTCTACTCCAATAAATATTCTTGAACTGAACAAAAAAATAAATAAATAAATAAAACTCTCCATTGTTTAGTTGTTCTCAGCTTGTAATAATAATGTGTAGCTCCCTCCACTAAAATCAAATTGGCACAGCAGCCCCCTTTGTTTCCTTATACATATGAGACTGGACCTGCACACATTGACTAAAACAATTAAAGCAATGCCCTCTTCACGATCATATAATCAGACACATCTCTGCAGAGTTGCCGAGGTATTGCCAGCAAATATTTCTATAGTCATTCAAATTTAACAGTTTTACTTGTTTTTCTGTTATAAGCTGTTGAAAAATGTGGAAACAGGAAAAGGGAAATAAATACCTTTTCTGCTTCCTTCTTTAGGGTTTCGAGGGCAAAATTTCTCTCTCGGTTCCTTGACCGTCTAAAGTAGATGACAGACACCCACATTTATAAATTCTGTTGAAGAGTTTGATGTACAATTGAATTCTTGAAGTTACAACTTGCGCCAGTTTTGGTATGGTTGCTTTCCCCATTGCTTCAGCAAATGCATGCAACCAGCTGCTATGAAAAGCCCAATAGCGGCAAATGCCATCATAGTTGAATTCTCAATTTTTTTATAGTAGCCTCTCTGGAATTTAGAAAAGATTGAAAATAAGTCCGTCATAGCTATACGTTCATATTAACACAAAAAATTAACTAAACCAAGAACAAGAATCAGTAAAATTGAGCACACATATGTACATATGGCCACAGGTAAAACTCATCCCAATACCAACATGAAAAGTAATGGAAAAGGAAAGAAAGATGAAACCTGGGCATGAAATTGAAACTTCATTCAAGGTATTTGAGTAACATTTCTTCCATTGGCATACCAAAGATGGCCCATGTTGAGCCAACCTTATTATAATGAATGGAAGAAATGCTCAGTCCTGATTACTCAAAAAATCTGGGTTACAGAAATCTTACTTGCATCAGCAAAAACAGAATAGCTACATTTGCGGGAGCAAGAGACAGGCTTATCATTCCTCCGCGCAACTTATTTGGCACATGCCTATGCACAAACAGTAGAAATCAATTTAAATTCCAGTGTATAAGACGAGTCACCACCAGTTACAAAAAGATAACTGAGAAAGCACCACTTTAGCATACATGGTCCTCAATCTTGCAAGTGAAGGCATAATCAGGCCCACTCCAGCATGGAATAAGCAAAACAGTGACACTAAAGTTCCAATTTCCTGCATTTCATGAATAAACAACAGGAACGTATGAACAGCTAGCATAAGAATCAAAATGGATATAAAAAGTAATCTACCACAGGTACAACAAATGGATACCTGGTAATCATAAGCCACAATTGACAAGGCAATCCCTAGTACAATAAATGCATATACTAGGCAATCCTCAGTTCGAAGTGATAATGGCCCACTCAACAGCCATGGAAATACTGTGCTTCCCAGCATTCTTGCACCCAGTAGGCATGGATATATCAACCCTAGATATACTTCTCGCCCATCAGCCTAAACTCACATGCAATTTAAATATTGCGGATCAGAAATTAGTTTCTTACAGAGTGATTTATGCATAATTTGCTACAATTGTTTTGCAAATTGTAAAAGTAAGAAAACAAAGGAAGAACTGGTTTGTTTGTTTGCATATAATTTCAAATTTAAATTAGGTTTCAATACAAATATGAATCCCCAACCACCTTCCCCAAAGGGGAAAAATAAAGAAAACAGAAAACTCTATCCAACATTTGTACTTGTCACATAGTTTCCATCAAACATTAGCCACCACCATTTATATCCATGAGCAAGGCATATTGCCCATTTGCAAAGTCTTGAAGCAAATGTACAGATTTATATATTGTTGGCTTTTAAGATGTAGGGTTTGCAACATTTAGCTCTAGGCTTAGTATATCTTAAATTATTATAGTAGATGCATATATCTGGATATTGCTATCAAGATTTCATCCAAATTTGCATGCCCTATAATCAAATGGGATGGGCATTGACAGGCCAGAAAAAGGTAGACAGAAAGCCAAATGATTAACAGGATAAAGGTAAATTGAGGATAATAAGGAGTAAATTGAGATACCAGAAGCTAACAGTAAAAGCATTTTTCTTTCGAACTGAATGGTAAAAGCATTTAATAACATAAGCATGTGATCTTACCACCAACATAGGTGCCCACAAAATCCAGAAGATATAAATAGAGAACTGAAGGCAAGCGTGAGCTAATCCCAGCAGCCACATTCGTTTATCTGGTAGATAGTAATACACCCCAATAATAAGAGCTAATGAGAACAAATGCTTATCAAATTCTTACTACATATATATGAGAATAAAACAAATGCATATTAAAGTAAACTTCCTTTTTTGCCTCTACCATTAACAATATCCATATGTGAACATTTTCTTGGACCATGTGACCATAATATGTCCATCAGTCCATGAAAAAATTTGTACAAACAGAAAATTGATTAAGGTAGTTCCAACAATGTAAATTTGCTGAGCATATTGTGCATGACAATGATTTTCTTTCGAGAGGCTTTCCCACACCAATAGAAGTGTCAAAAAACATAAGTTGAAAGTTGTTAATGCATAATAAGTTATGATCCAACTACAGTAACATCCTCCATTAATCAATTATTTAAACTGCAGATAAAGTATCCATCTTGCTTTCATGATCTGATGATCAACATATAAAAGCCAGAACTCAGCTACAGACTACCAAAGAAGCTCAGGCTTTAGAAGTTTTCTTCAGATCTTTTTAATGCAAAGAAGCAATGAAAAGGAATAATCTAACTAAGCAGTATGAAAAGACTGTACAAAAATGGCTATTGTTATAAAAGCCCATGTATAACTTGGGCTAGTTTGAATCATGACAGGGTGAAGTATATAGAACCAAAATTACAAGGCACAATATCAATAATACCTTAAAACAAATTGCATAATCCTTGTATAGTGTGGTAATATTATTGCAGTTATTTATTTTTGAATACAGACAATCAATTGTCTAAATTCTAAAAAATTGCAATGCCTCAATTTGGTATGATACAATCATACAAGCGCTATCCAGGCTTACTAAGGAACCTTTGGATTTAAATGTTAAAACACAATTAATTTGTTCATTTCAAATTAACGCTTAGAAATTTTCAGTTAAAAATATGAAATCTCACCACTAAAGATATTTGCATAAGATACAGTATAATCTTGAATTACTGTACTTTGTGTGGTTTCTTTCCATCCTTTGCCGACACAGATGATACCTACTATTGCCAAAAAGATGGTTGCAGTGGAACAAGACACAATGCCTTTTTCTGGATTAGTACCTAACAGCCAATTTGCCAGTGCCTGGCTTCCAATTAATGATGCCGACTCAAAGAAAGTCATTAACCAAAATGTATCACTCAAAGTATCTTGTCCGTGTCCTCGCTGCAATGTGGACAAATAAGAATTTAGCCATTATTTATTATCGGTAGCTTTTTTAAACATGCCTAGGAGGCTAAAACATAACACAAGATTGTTCTACTAATTTATATGTTGAAAGGACAAATAAAGGGAAATCAATTGAAGACATAAAAACAAATGGTATACTTGGATCATTAGAATGATGAAGATGATAAAAGTTTGTGAAGAGAAAGGCAAAATTTTTGTTAAAACAAACCTTTTCATTTTCGACAACCACCCATGCCTCAAAGCTGAAAGAAAATATTGAGTTGGCAAGAGACAAGCATATACTTGCTAACCAGATGCTAGGATGTGACATAATCCTCTTCCATATGCCAACAAAGAAGTGTAGGGTGCAAAAGATCAGACAAGCATTCTTGTGACCGCTGCGAGGAAGCATGCCGCGATAAGATTAGTTAGAATTTATCATACTCTAACCCATTACCTAGATTCAAGATGAATCAATATTTTCCAAAAAGAAGTCGAAGTTTGCCTTCTCCAAAATGCCAAAGCGAGGGAAAGCCTAGGCGCAATGCTAAGGTTGCTTCATTACAACATAGAGATTGTGGGATCAAGTACATGAATTGGATGTAGTAAAAGAGACATAACAATAATTCGAAAATTAATCTGTAAGCATGACGAAAAGTAACACCAGAATTATCCTTCTCCAATTCTCAACTAAATATCCTTCGAAGCAATAACCTTCGCTGCAAAAACTTTACTTATCTCTACTTTCTCATCACTCAAAATCAAAACTTTCTGCTTCCACTATTAGGTATTGAGTAAAAATTACGCAATTAAACTAAAAAGTAGCAGAAAAAGCTCAAAGTTAATGTTGCTTACATTAAATCAGAAAGCATCCCTAAGAAAGTACCAACAAGAAGAGCAGCTCCAAATCCAACACAGAGAGATATAACAGTTTGCTCCTTACTCACCCCATAAAAAGCCAATTCAAACTCTCCAAACACCAACCATAGCCCTTCAATTACTGCACAGAACAATAATTAAATTTTTTTTTTTTAACTACCAATCAAAGATAACTATGAGTATGTACAACTGACTGACCTGAAGCGAGAGAGAAGAGAAAAAGAAACTTTCTCTGGAAACGAAGAAAATTCGAAGAAGAAAAAGAAGAGAAGGCGTGATCGAGAGGAGAGGGAGATAGAGATTTATTGGTGTTATTGTTCGATTTAGAGGCATTTTGAAACAGAGCGATGGAGAAGAAACAACAAATGAAAATGAAGATGTAAAGTGAAGGATTTGGTTCCCAGACATAGCTTTCGATTACTACCCCCATATCGAATGATCTACTGAAACAAGTTCTGTTATTGTTGAGATCTGGAAATTAACTTTTAATGATTTTGATCTTTAGATTTGGTAAAGACACGAATTTCGAGCTGTTTGCACGTTGAAGAGGCTTTAACAGTTATCTCTAGGGTGAGCATTTCGTTAATCCGAACCGATCCAAACACAATAACTCAATCGAATATGAACAAATTTCATAAATCCATTGTTTAACCCAAATTATATTTAATATAAAATCGAAAATAATCGAATACAATAATATGTTGTTTTATTATAAAAAATTACAATTGTCCGAATAATCGAATTAGTATTTTCAGTTTAATCCAAACCAATTATGAGAAAATATTTAAATTCAAAAATTTTCAATACATGTGTTACTGTCTCTAAATTTGTAATTTGCACTCTTAAATTAATTATATACACATGCTTATAAATTTATTACACAATTGTATAAAATAAAAATCTAAATAATAAAATTAATTAATTAATCCCCAATAAGTCACAAGTATCCAAACAAAAATTACAAAAGCAGTCATATTTAAATCCAACCATACAAATAACAATTAATATAATTAGAAGTATTTACTAAATTTTCAGTTACAAAATTACAGTTAATAATAGATTAAGCATGCAGTTCTTTGTCAATGATCTCAAAAATTATACATATTATTGTCACTATCACAAAAACTATATAAATATAATTTGCACTCTTGGTTTTATTTTTTATGGGATAAAAACTCAACATTTTGACAAAAAAATTTTGAGATGAAGAAAAATATATCTTGAGTATTAATCTGGTTCATTTGGATAATCCAAATTTTTTTCAGACTAACCACACCATAACCAAAAAAATCAAATTAATATTTTATAATTTACTTATCCAAATCAAAACTAATTTATTAAGAGTTGAATCAAATCAAATTATTCGGTTCGGTTGAGTTTTTGGTGATATCCGCGAATTGCTCGCACTAGTTATTTTCCGTAACTGAAGCCAAGAAGAGATTGGTCCTGCCTTCCGTTTGATAAGACCACTCTACAAAACGGTGCGTTTCGCGTGTTAATATAGTATTTAGTTCCTCATCCCATATTTGACCGCATACATGAGCGAGGAAAAAATGGCAGACTATGTTTTTTCTTTTTATAATAAGCAGGAGGTTTAATACTTCTTTAGTATAAAGTGTAAAAATTTTTTAATATTTGTAAAGCGTAAATTTATCGGTCAATAAAATGCATTTTGCCGAAAGCACTTTGCAGGAATCGAATTTGTATTCACACTGAAATTGAAATGGTTTACTATTCAATTAAGTTTTGTTGGTTAAGTTTTTGATAATTTGTTACCTACCATTCACGAGCTTCTCATGAATTTTACTTTTTGTCAAAAGAAAAAAAATCTCAACATGAAACGAGAGAAAAAGTTCCAGAGGGCAGAAGCTGTCAACATCCAGGGCATAAGATGGTTGATTGTAATTAATCTATCACAAAAATAGGTTCAAAAGCTCAACAGGAAAAAAATACAATAAATTTAAGGGCATCAAATGGGATTTTCCCACCCTAAATAACCTTGCATCTTCAAGATACAATTACCCAAATTTTTTAACCAAAAACCCACACTGATGTGCTACCTAATATACAGCAATTAGGTAGCTTGAAGGCTATCCCACACCATATGCTATATAATTAATTATTAAAATATGTCTAATAATAATAATAATAATATATCATACTAGCAATTTCTAAGTTCGAATTCTGAAAAGAATTAGCATATATCCAAATATTTTCTTTCCCAAACAATGAGGAATCATAGAATTGAGGAATTGCACAGAACCTAAAACTGCTATGCATTTTTTTTTTTTTTTTTACTCAGTTACATTATTCTATATCCTCCCTTTAACTGGCTCGCAGTTCCAATCCTCAAAGATACCTTCTCCCTCCCCATTGGCAGTTGGAAGCTGCAAGGTTCCTGGATGGTTAGGCATGCAACTTTCTCACTTGATCCTGAGTGCAAAACAGAGCAAAATTAATAGCGTAGCTTCATTTTAAGCCAACTTATTCTAATACTAGCGTTTGAAGTAGCTTAATGTCTCTAATACATTAAGCCTCCATTTGAATAAGGAGATACAAACATAGACCACCCAAATCTAAAACTAGTTGTTCTAGCCTCCATTTGCAAAGAAACCAAGACTCAACACTTTCAGTTATTAGTTAAACCACCCGCCACCTCTCAAATCTTATCTAAAGCATCTTATTGCAGTAGCTAGGCTTTTTATCCTTCATTTTCACTGGAAACACATCTTTTTAACTACAAATTAATACAAATACTTACCTCAAAATTATCTTTCATCCATCCAGGAATACTTCTTGAAACAAGGTTGATATACTGCTCCATTGCCACCTCTGGACTCATGTTCCCAAGTTTTTGCCATGCATTCCTATAACAAACAATCTAATTACTTCCATTCATAAATTAATTCAAGAAACCACGAAAAAGGTAACCAAGCTACAGCCAAGAACTGAAGGTTAATGTGATTTTGAATTCCAACAAGTAACCACTGAGCTTTGGTTAACTGAATCTTAAATCCTAATAATCATGACCTTCAATTTATTTGTTCCAATAATTTCAACAACTCTGAGAAGTTCTCTGCTTCAATTGTCTCAAAAATCTAAAGACAGCAATCTAAGAGAAGGAGAAATAAAATTAAAAAAGGAAAAAAAAAAAAGTTAATACCACTTTGAGCGAGCAGAGAACTTGAATGGCCTGGGTTGAGGCACATGGCAAGGCCCTTCAATGGCAACCTGGTGAAGTCCATGCAATTTCAGCTTCAAATCACTGTTAATATTCAATAATATTTTATCAGCATTATTGATAGAACCAACAAATGCCACAGCAGCACCAAATAGCTTCTCTAACTCACTTCTTTCTATCCCTTCCCAATCATCCTCCTCCTCAATTTCAAGGTTAATCTCACTTTTACCAAAATCTATTTGTTCTTTTATCAAACCCATCTCAGTTTCAGTTTCGCTCTTAGTAATCGAATTCTCTTCGAATTTAGGCAAACCATTTTCTTCTCTACTACCTTCCTCTGTTAAATCAACATCAGTTTTTATATCTTCAGTTACATGAAAAAACGATTTGATACCTTCATTAGAGTATAATTCTTGTTGGGTAAACTTATTCTCCATCGATTCGCCTAATTTATCAACTCCTACAATTTTTGAAACAAACCCAAATTTCCTTTCCGTCTCAAAGTGATAACTTTTAGACTCCGGTTCGAACTTAAGGTAATGGGTAGTTGTTTTTTCAAAATAATGGTCATTATCATTGGCTGTTGCTGTAGAGAGGAGCTTAGCGAGAAGAAAAGAGCAAAAAATAGAAAGAGCAACTGTCAAAAGGAATTCAAAGAAAAGCTCCATGGCCATTACACGATAAGGAGTACGATAAGAAAGTACGAATCTGAGATTTGATGAGGCGACAGAGAAAGAATAGAAAGGTGGAATTTAGAGAGAACAGAGCAAAGTATATTCTAAGAAATGTGTCGGTCCTGCTGTATAATTATTGGATTGGTTTTGAAAAGAAGGTATCTGAAAATGACTCTTTCGCTATTGGTAGACGAGTCGGAAGCGGTTGAAGCGTCATCAGTTCTGAGCTGTCAATTAGAGGTCAAGACTGCTATTACAGAGCTTCCCCTCCCTCCAACACTTTTCCCCCTCCTTCCTCACTGAGTTCTGATGCTAATTACTAACCAGTAAGCAATTTTTTATATCTCCTTAAAAAGAACATTTATGATTATTAATTTTACACGATTAAATTTATTCCAATAAAGTAAATACATATACCGATATTTTTATTCATAAAATTTATTTATATTAAATCAATTTGAATATGAATTTAGTTAAATTATTCTATTAAATATAAATTTTAAGCTAAATTATTTAACTTATCATTTTGGTCATCAAATATCTTCTATGAGTAGCTTTTTTTGGTAATCAAAGAAAAAAAAATTAGCAGCTTAAATAGGTTAGACAATATTTATGACCAAAACAAATAAATAAAAAGCAATTAATTAAAAGAACAATATAAGGATCTTAACTACCATATTGCTGGCTGTTGTTACTGGAAATTAGCTGGTACAGTTCTTGGTGTATAGTCCATTCGATGGGTAATTTCTTCCCAATTAAAGATCCATCTAAAGCATTTCTTGCGGTTAAAAACATAGTAGTAAAATCGGACATAAGTAAAAAACTATAAGTTTAAACACTAGATTTTATGAAATTCAATATTATATAAAATTTTAAAATAATTTTTATATTCAGTACGTGCAAAATATTACTTGAATATAAGATTTGAAAGTACTATCTTTTCATACAATTTTTTTTTTTAGTTAATAAAGAGCTATCTCGTATCTAAGAACGTTATTAAAACTAATATTTGAACGTATAATTCAATTTGAAATCTTAAGGATTAATATCTTATAATTGAAATTAAAATTTTAATACTTGAACTTAATTGTAATCATAATATTACAATTAAATTATAACAATAAATGAATGATTATTTGAAGTTAATTATTATGATAATGAATAACATTAATATCTAATATTAAAAATTAAAAAATTAGTGTTTTGATATCAATATTTAATAAAAAAGATAAATATTACTGAAGATTGATGTTTAAATTTAATTAGGATCCCTTTCAAAAAACAATTAATTAGGATCCTAATATTTAAAATTATTACTAAGAAATATTAAATCGCGAATATGAACAAATATAGATGACATGCATTCTTAAAAACCAGCACGTAGAGCGTATATGAAAAATATTATCCACTAAAATAATTCATAAATATATTTTATCTCTGTGATATATAAGATTTTGAAAGTACTATCTTTCATACAGATTTTTTTTTTTAAGTTAATAAAGACGCGGAGAAGCTATCTCGTATCTAAGAACGGTTATTAAAACTAAGTTATTTGAACGTAATAATTTCAATTTGAAATCGTTAAGGATTATATCTTATAATGTGAAATTTAGAATAAAATTTTAATAACTTGAACTTAATGTGTAATCATAATAGTACAAATTAAATTATAACAATAATGAATGATTTATTTGAAAGTTAATTATTAATGATAATGAATATATCATTAATAATCTAATATTAAAAATTAAGAAAAATTAGTGGTTTGATAATCAATAGTTTAATCAAAAATAAATATTTCACTGAAGAGATTGGGAATGTTTTAAAAATTTTTTGAATTAGGATCCCTTTCAAAAAGCAAGAAAACATTTATATTATGGATCCTAATTATTTAAGAAGATTATTACTAAGAATAATTGAAATCGCGTAATATGAACAAGATATATGGATGACAATGCATTCTAAACGCAGCACGTAGAGCCGTATATGAAAAAATATATCCACTAAAAATAATTCATCAAATAATATTTCATATATATATAAAATTATATAGTAAATTTTTCAGTTGTTTTTTGCTTCTTTGGTTAACCGAATGAAGGAAACGCGATGATTTGGTTCCAATCTATATATATAATATAGTGATAGTAGTATACTAAAAAATGTTTTAGGCCAATGATTTGGTTTAGCACGTTTCCGTCTAATAAATAATGTCCTCAGTTGAGATTTGGTTCACCATAGTTTTATTAGGAGTGAATTATTGCCGTCTTCCTCATCTGAAAGTTTCAGAATTAGGGGTTTTTATATATATTAAAAAATGTTTTAGCCAATGATTGTTTAACACGTTTCCGTCTAATAAATAATTCTCAGTTGAGGATTTGTTCACCATAGTTATTAGGAGTAATTTTGCCTCTTCTCTCTGAAAGTTCAGAATTAGGGTTTTTGTGCTCGATCGATCGGGGAGAGAAATATGGGAGGGGGCAATGGCCAAAAGGCTAAGATGGCTCGAGAGAAGCACCTAGAGAAGCAAAAAGCTGCCAACAAAGGTAATATTTTTCAAATTTGATTTCGATTCCTTGGACAATTACGCAAACTATAAAACAAAAAAATATTGGATCCTCTGAGTTTCCTTTTTGTTTCTTCTTTGATAAAATTTTTCTCTCGGAGGTGCAAAATTATTTACTTTGATTCTCTGTGTTTTAATTCATGTCCTCAGGAAGCCAATTAGAAACAAACAAGAAAGCCATGAATATCCAGGTAATCCTCCTCTCTATGTGCAGATTCAGATATTCAGATTTATAGATATGGGGATATAATACATAGCTTTATTTGCTGATTTTGAATGAAGTACATCAAAAGGTACAATTATTTGGCTTTTTTTTTTTTTATAAAAATTTTAAATAAATTTTGAAGGATAGTGCTATGTTTAAATTTTGAAGTTTGTGTGTTGGTGGTAGGAGCATTACTAGTTACTCGTGGGTAGTCATATATACTATGGCAAATAATTTTAGTATGTTAATGTGATGATTGAGGGAATGGAAAAGGCAGTTGACAAGTACTTTTCATTTATGGGTTATTAGCACTTGGCCATACTATTAATTTTAATTACCAAAAAAAAAGTCTTGAAACTTATTATTTTGATTGGCAAATAACCCATTTAACTACAAACTCAAATCTAAATTATTGAATTTCAAATTCTCCATCCAAATACGACCTAAAAGAATAATAGGGAATGAAATGCATTCTGAATAATTTGATAATTCCATAAGGAGTGTGATTTAAAATGAACTGTGAGACATATATTATATATATGTGAATTATCTAGTTGATGCTTTGAAATTTGAATGCAGTGCAAGGTTTGCATGCAGACTTTCATGTGCACAACATCAGAAGTGAAATGCAGGGAACATGCAGAAGCTAAGCATCCTAAATCTGATCCTTATGCTTGTTTCCCTCATCTCAAAAAGTGAGTGGAGTTTGACAAAATGCCATGTCAAGGCAGTAGATTAATATTTTGCTTTATACAATTAGTATGATGGATCCATTTGTGCTCTTGTAATTGTGGAAAGACAATGATTTGTCTTAGTGCCTCTTGTATTGGAACCTGGTAATCAGAAAATGGCAAAATTTGAGCATCGTGCTTGTAGATTTAGTTATTGTTTATGCTGACATATTGACATGAAAAGAACTATATGAACTTTACGTTTCTACATCAATGTTAAACTAGGGAGTCATTTTATGAAGCAACAGGTTTTGCTTGGGGGAAGAATTAACAGTTCAAAGACTGACTGGTACATGCCTGTTATGATTCTAGCACATGATGCTAGAGATGTTTTGCAAGTTCTTGGAGTTTTAATGGTACAATATGCATACTTGCATGTTTTTATATGGTTGGCTCATCGTTCAAATGCCATTACTGCAATTTGTAGAATTTCAGCTGAGGCACCCAATTGACTACTGGATCGAGGGCCAACATGAGCTTTCACCTTTCATAAGATTACTACTGTATTTGCCATCCGAATGGAAAAAATAACCGTTTTAAGTTGTAAGCACGCCTGTTATCGTACAATATTAAGCACCAGAGATTCTTTATTCTAAATACAATTTTATTATTTTTCCTTTCTTTATTTGTTTAACATTAACCGAATCTAGCATTGTAACATATGAGTAAGCAAGGGGTTAGTCCTGCAAGGCTTTGCATAAAGAATGTGAGACGCATGCCAATTTAATCAATGGGCTAGTAAATTCTCATACGGAATGCAAGATACCAATATATTCTCTCAAACAAACGATCAGATCATATGATTAAAAATCCATGCACAACTTTAGCTGCCTGCAGCAAACAAAGGCAGTCGTCATTGTTCCCCATAACACTAATAATCGCAAAGATGATAATACTGATACATGCCCCACAAGCATTGGCCTCTGGTCTGTTGACAGACCCATGTGAATGCTTACTGTGTCCGCATTCTACTACTTTCTGCAGCTCTCACCTGAGAAAAATATGGATGTGCCTGTACCACAAACAGCATAAAAAATATCAAGTTACTCAAGAATTAAAAAGGTATTGTTATTGGTCATGTTAGTGAAAAAGACTACTGCAGTTTACTGGAACATTTATGCCAGCAATTCAGTCTAGCTATATGTTTACTTAACACTTATACAAGGTCCAAAAACAAGAAGATTATATACATGCTAGCCCCTGCAAATTACCAATGCTAACATTGGTGCTATGGATTGAGATAGAAGCAGACGGTCTCAAATTACCCATGGGTTGTTAATGTTATGTCTCTGAGTGTGAGGTGAATGTAATTGTTCCCAACACCAGCATTCCTGGAGTGATTACATTATCTCTACCTATCATGGTGACCATTCAAGGTGGAAGCGAAAAGGCTACACTCATTGATCATTTTTTCCCAATCCACCACCACCCCATCACTTGTACAAAATACTAGGGCTGTTCAATCTAACGAAATCAGATTGCACAAGTTTTGTTGCTAGTGTTAATATTAACATATTTGTCAATATTTAACTGCTCAACTAAGACATTACATATAAAAGCTGTTCAATCAGGTCAAATGCAACCCGATCTAATAGCCCTACAAAATACAAGCAAATACACTCAGGTTATATGCCCATAAAGGCTTACCATTGCTTCTCTTGCAGTTAGCCTGTCTTGATGATCATACCGAAGGAGCTTATCAAGAAAATCAATAGCCTGCACATCAGAAAACAACAAAAAGAATAAAAACCATTTTAGGACCACTGGTGCCAGGATGAGAAAAGCTAAAAGCTAATTATTTAATGGGCATCAGATAAGAAACCTCTGGAGAAACTAGATGCTGATTGTCTGAATTAATGAATTTGGACCAGGGCTTCCTGCTGTGCCTGCAGCAGTTAAAAACAACAAATTCATTCATGTTAACTTTAGCAAGTCTTTTGCTGTGCATCTACAAAAGGGACCTGATATAATTTGAACTGCAGCACTCTTTAAGAAAATGCACAACACAGTGAAGAAGAAAATCATATTGAACAAACCTCCCAACAAGCGCATCAAGTTGAGGATCAAGCTCCAAGTGATATTTATTCAGATATGCATTCAACTCATCAGTTCCAAGTACCTGCCATCACCCTTAAAATCAGACAGTGGGTTCTACGGAACTAATTCATGTATTGTAGTTTTTATGCAGTAATGTTTCCCTACCACACCATTGCAGTACCTTTGCAATTTTGACAAGCTGATCATGGTTGTCATGACCATAAAAGAATGGTTCCTTCCTAAAGATCTGATATTGAGTACAAGGACAATCAGCAAATCATAAATAATAAATATAATTAGAAAGAAATCAGAAAGAAGAATATGTAGGCTATTGCATACCATTCCTGCAAACATGCAACCAAGGCTCCACATATCCAAAGAATAATCATAGTCTTGCAAATCAACCAGAAGCTCAGGACCCTTAAAGTATCTGAGAAACAAAGAAAGAAAACTAAGAATGAACTCTAAAGAAATATATTAACATAAAAAATATTGAAAGACATTCCACTAAGAAATATAATATACTTGTATAATATTGAAATTGCTATTCCATTCACTCAAAACCTCTATTTCTGGAATTTCAGAGCTTAAAATTGCAGAATGCTGAGAAACTGACTGATGTCTTTGAAAATCCATAGGGCTGAAATAAAAGCTAAACTTCAAAAGATGAAAACTACAGATAACTTTGAGCAATCTGCAACTTAGTTAAAACTGAAACAAACATCATCAGAATTTCTCCAATTTGGGTAACTTGACATTTTCACCCAAATGTATATTTGCAGACCAAACTCAGTTTCAAATTTGGCCATTCCCATGGACAAAACAACATATAGATCTACAAGACTTTGCTTTTCCAAAACTTTAATCATGGTCCACAATTTTTTACCAATTTCCATCCTTCGAAATAAAGTAAACCTCATTAGTGCACCTTTAGTAGATTTACTTAACGAACTTACGATTAACATTTGTTCTACAAGGTTTGTCTTCACAAGGCCAGGAATGGACCAGTCTTAATTTCCAAAACTGAAAGTAAACCACAAAACTGAAAAGGGAAAGCAGCAAAAGTGTTAAAGAATAATCTAGAATGTCTCCAAATCACTACCTTGATGCCACCCGAACATTATATTCCTTGCCAGGATGGTAAAATTCTGCAAGACCCCAATCTATCAAGCGAAGTTTTCGCAACTCATGATCAATCATAACATTGTGAGGTTTGACATCTCTATGCATTATGCCTTGTGAATGGCAGTAATCTAATGCCTGCATTCAAAGAAATCTCTATTAATTCACACTAATAAGATAAGAATGACCTTTGAAACTCATGATCTACAATGTCTTCTATAGTTGGGGTGAAGCCAAATGAAGGCCGTACTTTACCCACAAAGGAAATTCACAAAAATAAAATGTAAGGACATAATTATTTGACGAATGCTAACTAAAATAAATGGTTCAAGTAAATGATATGAATAGCTGATAAATGAGGCCAGATCAATGAGATTAGGCAAATATATGAGATACATATATCTGAAGCATATGTACTTATAGAGAGAAAAAGAAAATTTTCCTCCACAAAATACCTTGAGAAGCTCGTATATGTAGTAACGTATGTCATAATCAGTAAGCGTTGGGTACAAAACTTTGAAGTCTGTACTGTTCACAAATTCAAATATCAGGCTAGGAGTTTTTGAGTGCTGATCTCTAACAATGTCGAGAAGTTTGACTATATTTGGGCCACCGCAGAGATTCTGAAGTATTTTTATTTCCCTCTTGATCTGCAGAAAGATAAAAAAAAGTACCATTATCAACATATTTCTTCAAGGATGAGAAACAAAATAGCTTATGTAACAGTCAAAAAACATAAGATACTTATGGATGCATGGGGAGAAATTAAAAATTACCTTCTTTTTCTTAACCGGCTTGAGGATCTTGATTATGCATCGCTCATTACTGTTCACATTTATGCCTTCAAAAACCTCACTATACTTTCCTCTTCCAACTTTACGAACAACTTCATAATCATCTTGATCGCTGAAAAGAACTTTGAAAAGTTAAAAGAAAAAAAAAAAAAAAAGAAGAGCTAGAAAAAGAGAGAGAAAAAATATTGCGAGCATTATAAAAAAGACTCATAATTATGATATCCACAATTTTACGCTAAAGAAAATGCTGCAATGAGAAGAGAAAATTAAAATTATAGCTAGAGATATCAAAACAGATGTGACTGAAACCGATTAATGTATGAATGGAACTGAATGCATAGAAAGGAGCTGTAAATCTAATCCTGCATTTTATGTTTAAAAAGTTGTCGTAGTCTTCTACTCTAAATGACCACATATTTTGTGTTCATTAACAATTGAATTCCTTTTTATCAATCAGTAAAATATAGGTTCACAGCATATCGAGCGATTAAATTTTAGCCACTCCTTAGAAATGACCAAATAAGATAAGTCCACATGAGATATAATATAAAAGTAAAATTTCTCTCTTCCCAAACAACACAATAGTAATGGCTCAGTCTATCAAGAGACCTTGGGTTTTATTTTTGTTGGGTGGGTAGGAAGGGGAAGAGGTATCCCAGTTGTATTGCTCATTTAATATTCTTATGTACCAAAAACTATATTCTTTCAACTTGATAATCAAATTAATAAAAAATTTTCAGAAACATTCCCCAAAAGTTTCCTTCACTCATTAGTTGGGCACAGGCCACAGCAGCATTTTAAAATCCAGCCAAAAGAAGTTATAAACACTCTCTTTGCTAGATGAACTTTGACATTTGGGGAGTAAGATGAAAAAGAAAGAATGAGGGGGAGGGGATCCTAGATTTTCTTTTATCTAAATGAATTTCGCCTTTTGGAAAGGCTTAGTCATCATTAGAGGAAAAAAAAAAACCTCTTTATTAAATTGCTCGCATTATTTGCTCCAAGTTACGTATTTCAACTTTATAGGAACAAAAAGATGAGACATCAAACACGACGAGAAGAACTGAACAATTGGGACAGTAGAGCATTGGTCCCGAATATGACAGGAGTATCTGAAACAAAGAAATGGCTACTAAGATATTTTCCAGTTAGCATACAAAAAGTCCGTCAACTTTGGATGCCAATTTACCCTGTGTATCAAATCCTAATTGTGTAGATATATCCCTCAAAATCTCGCACTCACAAATTCTAATAAACATCTTTCTAAAGCCTAACTCAAAGCAACATTTCTGCCACCGCACTGGCAGAAAGCAACAAACTCCGTCTTCTCTGAAATCAAAGAGACGAGTTAAAAGGGAAACGATCCACCAATAGTACTCTTTACAATCTACTATTCCGCTTGAACTGAACAGCATTAAGTAAAAAACAAAAGAAGAAGAGACGTAAAAGAAACGAATCAAAATCAAATCAATCACTTCAACTCAGATTGAATAAACCCTAGAAGTCTCCAATACCAAAAACTTTTCCCCATATTTTCAAACATTACATAAGCCAAATAGTTCGCAATCACATCGGCAAAAATAAAAAGCAAACAGATAAATAAACAAATAACTATATTAGGATTGAAATTAACAAAAAGAGCAACAATTACCCCCATTGAACAGTAAGAGACTCGTAATCCCAGTACTCCTTGGGACGCAGGACGTTAACATCGGCATAAACTCGCGCTTTCGACATGGATCGGCAATTCAAATCGGAGATCTCAACGGTAGGATCACTCCTAACAATGATCTTATCGTTGATTCCGTTATCGTCGAGGATGGTAGTGGGAGGGTGGTTGGTTATTAGATTAGGAGGGTTAGGGGTGGCGAAGGTGCGCAGGTTAGGCTGGTGCGCAACTGGCGCACGCAAAGCAATAAGAGCGCACACTAGCAGTAGCCGATGAAGAAGCAGTAGTGAGTTAAAGTTTTGGGGATCTTTTTTCATATGCCGCTAACGCGACGCAAGGCCGTGGCACGCTAAGGGAAAATTAAAATGAAAATGAAAAGGCTGCTGCTGTGCGTTTTGGGCCTGTTGTGTTGTTTGTTTCATGTTAATTCTTTTATTAGCAAATATCGGATATTTCGGAGTGGAAGAGGGGAGGTATTAAAGTGCTGTTGTTGATAGTTTATAGTGATGAAGCTTTGATACGTGGCAAGCGGTAACCCGTAAGTGGCTTGGAGGAAGAAACGGGGAGATTTTTCGGTTCTCATTTTACTCCCTCTGTTTGTTTATACAAAAACAACTAATTTTTCATCAGAATTAAAAAAATATATTTCAATCAACTCTTTTTGTCTTTTATTTCTTAATATATCTCTAATATATCATTTATTTCTTCTCTTATATTAAAATATATTTTAAACTATGTTTCAATCCTCAATGAAACTTTTAAATATTTTATTGGAATGTAGAGAATAAAAATAACTGCAAAACATAAAGTTTATGCTCTAAGTTGCAGAGGGAAATTCTTTTTTTAGTTCTTTATTTAGGAAAATTATGTGAAAATATGAAAATCTGTGCTCATTTAACCTTCTAACTGTTTTTGGTTGTTGAAAACATATTTTAAATATCGCGTAATTTTTCAAATATTCGAGCGAAGTCCATAGGGTTTATTTTCATTGTGGCCAACTTATAAATTTTATGAGCACTTTTTTTTTTCAATGAAAATTGATGGAAAAAACTAATTCTCCAAAATTTTTTCATATTAAATGTTCATCTATACTTTTATCTACTACTATCTTGAGAATCTTAATACTAAAAGCTTTACCAAAAATTAAAACAAGGGTAAGATAAACTTTTCATATTGGCATGGTTTTCAAAATTATCAAATTAGGTAAAATTTTCTACATAAAAAGAACACCTAAAGTAGAAACTTTTCCTATATAAAAACAACATAAAGAGTAATAATTAAGACATATTTTTTTGAGCTTTCATTTTAATTAAGATATATGGGCACCAGTGAAATATTTATAGCTAGAGCAGTACTAATTTTATTTTGGAGTCCTAACTAGGGACGAAAGTGAAGTGGAACTAGGAAAGAAGATGAAATTCGAACTCGAGACAAAAGTGAAGCACTAGGGAAGTGTAACGTCCCATTTTTCTATTGAATCGAGTCGTTGCTTAGAGTCGAGTCGGGCTGATCCAAAACCCGGTTCGAGCCATTAACAAAAAGATCAAAGTATAAGGATTAGGACTTGCTTTTGCACTTTCTTTTTTACATTATAATAGTTGAGGTTGAAGTTGTACCATTTGGACATTGAGGTACCATTTGGTATTTTCACATCAAATCCTGATTTTAGCGACTACTGTGGAGTTCATTTTCAATTTTCTTTTCATCTTAATCTTCTCTATCTTCCTCTTACTTTCCTTTCATCCTTTCTCCATCATTTTTAATGGTAGTGAAGATTGTTAATGGGATTCAACCTTAATTCACTTTATTCTTCAGTAGTACACCTTCTTGTTTCATACTTGCTCATTTTGGTTGAATATTTTTAGTGTTCATAAGGGATTCTCATGTTGGAGGGTGAGCTCAAGGTACGAAGAAACAGGAAGGCTAAGAAGAGTTCAGCTTGTTAAGTGAGGTGTGATATCTTTTTTCATTTCATTTTTTTTGCATGAGAAATTTGTGTGGTGTGTTGCTCTGAGCATATTGCTTATGTTTGAGTGGGGTGGATGGTGATGGTTGAGAAACAGGGAGGTATTGATAATGAAGTTAATAGTGGTTTATGCTGAACCGGGGAGTTCTGGTACTGGAAATTTTCCAGTACTTCTTTCTCTGATTTTGCCCCATTTAATGCTGGAATTGGAGTGTCATTTAAAAGAGTTATTTGTCTTCCTCTTATGTGTTAGTTTTGGATTTTTGATCATTCAAATCGGGTTGTATCAGTTGAGAGCTATGATCAAAAGAGTACAGACAGTTTTGCAGACTGGAAGAGCGACGCGCGCGCCGCGCCGCGGAATTGCCTGAGAGCTTGCGACTTGTGCTAATCACCTGATCTCATTTTTGCAATTGTACGCGCTCGCAACTTTCATTTTGAGGCTCGCGGACTTTTCACCTGAAACTTCTGGCCTCTTCATTTGGCACTTTCTCGGCTCACGACTTTACAAGTGCGCGCTCGCGACTTGGCCTTGGCCTGTTAAGCCTCGGCGACTTCATCGCGGCGCTCGCGAATTTGGCTGGGACTCATTGTCTCTCATTTTGCACTCTACGCTGCTTCGCGACTTTCCAGTCGCGCTGAGCGATTGTGCCCGATAATCACTGTTCTCATTTGGTGCCTCCTTACGCGCTCAGCGAACTTTGCAAGGCGCGTTGCGATTGTGTTTTCATGCACTTTTGGATTTTTTTCTTATGCTTGGATTCCTTTGCTCACTTGTATGCCTCCAATCATTTTACAACATCAACATTCATTCATTGATCAACCACATGCAGCCTGCAATGATGTTGAAATTGAGATAAACACCGCAACTTGTAATTGTTTCTATGCAATTGTGAAATGGATGTTGAAATGGGCTGTATGAGTTATGACCTTTATGCATTTGATATTCAATTTTTCACCTGTTATGTTTCAACCATTCTTAAAGCAAAAGGCAACATGCACACATGTATAAACACAAAATGCAAGCATGAAATGGTGTGGAAACTAACATGGACCAGATGCAATTATGACAAGTTACTTATGTTTGTTTATCTATTGTTCAATTAATATGCTCATTGAGGTTACGGTAGAACCTGTGATAGGCTATGTCGCGACATAGAATGCAGGGATCTGCGCCCATACGTTTGGTCGCGGGCTACGGCGTTGAGTTGGATGTGATGTATTACGGCCATTAGCGCCAAATAGTTTTATTCGGTTCATTAGTTTTTTATCACTTCGGTTTTCCCTTACTTATGGGCTATAAGTTCTATTGACTTACAAATTGCTATATAGTATACTAACAGCAGAACGCTCAGGTAAAATAAAGTCATGTATGTGTTGCTTATTCTATGTGGATATGTTTTATTTCTACATATGTATGTGCTTATAATGTTTCTTTTTCATTATGAATATTCACTGGTTTAATCAAAGTTCGCCGAGTTATCAGGCATAAGACATCAGGTCGTCTGATAGTCATAATGTGTGTTTAAGGTTCATGGTAGGAGTTATTTGAGTTAATTAGAATAATTATTGTGTTTATGATATTTAGAGTTTATTCGTTGCTATTCATGGAGACATCTTTATATTGAATTTACTGATTCTTATGAGTATCAATGTCTTATGGAATTTGCTTTTTAAGTTGTTGCCTCGGCACTTTGTTTAGTATGTTGAATTATGGCCCACTGGTTTTATTATAGCGCGGTGATTTTTATTTACGCGTGGTGAAGATCATGTGTTCGTTATTGAGACTTGGGGAGTCTGTTCCAAGCAGAAGTGACTTACTTGGTATAGGTAGATTTGGAGTTGTAATATTAAGGATTATGTCATGTTTTAAGATTTATGGCATGTATATTATCTTTGTTAGAGGCTTATGTTCGATTGGAAATATATTGAGATGTATTATTGTGGTGTAGTATTTGGGAGGAATGATTTGTATTTTTATATGTTGGATGATTTAGGTCCTGGGATTTGAAAGTTTGAAGTTTAATTGGGAGTGTTTTATATTCATATTTAGCATACAGGATGATATCACAATGACAGGATATAAGTTCAACCAGATTGTAGCGTCTCGTCTCGGTTCATTCGGGTTAACGGGTGGACCGGGAAAGGATGTTACAGGAAGAACTAGGTAAGAAGGTGAAATTCGATCTAGAGATGAAAGCGAAGCGAGTACCTATGGAGTCTGAACTAGAGACGGAAGTGAATTAATTTGTTAGTATTCGTCATAAACCATTTTGAAGTACCTCTTAATTTCATAGTAGGGTATCTCCAAGAATTTATTTAAAATACAGTTATTTTATTAATAATGAATATGGTACACTCAATATAGTGTTTATACGAAATTGTACCCATAACTTCGACGGTATTTGAATAGAAAATATCAAATAATCAAATATGCATCTACCAAACGTTGGAAAAGAAACTATAATTATGGCTAACGTAAGACACAAAATAGCTATGCACATGATAGAAGTAAAATATGAATGCTTAATAATTGTTATGAGATGTAATGTGTCCTCTAAAAGGATGTGTTACAAATATTTATAGTGTATCTCTATTATAACTGAAGATGTAAATATCTAGTAAGAATTTCGATAATAAATATTGAGCAAAAATTTTTTGCATTAATTGTATAATTAATTGACTCATTAATTATATTATTAAACTGACTCTTAATATCTTTTTAACTGTGCATTTCCTCTTTTCTAGCTGGTTTGAGTAACGCTCTGTCCATATTTGTTGCTATATTTGTTGCTCATCTCATTCTTCTCATTCTGTTGATTGCTCAGTCCATATTATCAATTGCTCCTACCAGTATCCTTTAAATCTTTTAAGATCAAATTACTAGCTCAAATTAATTCATAATCATACTACAAGCCTAATCGAGGGAAAGTCAGAAAAGTTGAAGAATTTGAAATTTTCATACAGCTTTTGTTTGGATTTGCATAAAATAAAAATACACTCTGTCTATGAGGCAAAATTTAATTGGTTTTTTTATCCATATTTTTCACAAGTTGTTTCATTTGAAATCTCCAAAAGAGGAAATAGGCCAAACCCAATCCAATCAATACGAACACCCAAACATTCTCCTCTTTGCTTTCCTTTTCTGATTTCACTTCCTCTATAGCAAACCATTCCCTCCCTCCATTTCCCATCATAACCTCATTCACACTCCCATATAACACATATACCCTCTCATCCCTCCCCACTACTACTGAAGTTGGGAATCTCTCAACATCAAGGTCAATTTTGTCATAAACGACTCCCTCCCCCCAGCTATCGTCGCTTTTCAAGAGCCAGAGTTTACTTTGGGACACCACCACAACGACGCCGTCTCTTCGTATCGCGATCCCGTCGGCCAAAGTCAAATCCTCCGTCAACAAGACCGCTCTCGCCGTGCCATCGTCCACGTCGACCTTGAACATTTTTCCGGTGTTGGATTGTACCACCAGTAGATAACCCTTGCTGACGTAAGCAATCCCGTTGAGACCGCAGTAGCTAAACGGTGAGTCCCGGTCGACGGGATAACGCGTGAAAATCGGAGATCTCGAGAAAATTGACGCCTCTCCTTGAGCGTTGACTTTCCATATGAAGTTCCCATCGGAGTTACCCAACGAATTGGTAACGTAAGCGTTTCCCTTGAAATCAACGGCCACAGCATTGGCGACGGATCGGTTAGCAGTGCTGGCTGATTCTGCGTCGGGTAGGATGGAGAGAAAGATGCGTTGGCGGGTACTGAGGTCGTAGGCGGCGAGGGCGTTGAAAGGAGGGAGTAGTGGCGAAGAGTGAATAGCCGCAAGAAGCCGGTTGTGGACTGGATCTACGGCCAGGCCTAGAAAGGTGGTGTTTGGAGGGAGGGAAGGGTCCGAGATGAGAGTTTCGAGGACGCCTGCATCAGATACGGCGTGGAGTGTACGGTCGTGATAAGAGCCAGCGATGAAGTGTTGAGCTGTGGGATCATAAGCAAGGCCCTCTGGATAGAGATTTTTAGACCGGAAATTGATGACGTGACGCTTTCCGATAGCTAAAGGGATTGTATCAACGAAAAAGAAGAGGATAAAAAGGGCAAGCAGAGACATTGCTTTTGCGATCTTTAGCGGGTATGGTATGGGTATGTGGTGGTGGCAGCAGAGTAACGACTAAAAAGCCTTTTTAAGTTAACTGGACCTTTCTTTTTCTTGTCAAAGGGGGTACGGGAAAACGTTTCAAAAGCCTTTTTTAAGTTAACTATGCCTTTCGTTTTTTCTTGTCAAAGGGGCATGGGAAAACGTTTTAACGGAATAATTAACATGTTAAATTGTAGTAATTTAATATGAGGATGGTGCTTGGATCTTTTTATTCTTTTGAAATGTCAAATAGAAAATATGAATAGTCTCCATGATTTTTTTTATTAGGTCAATTTCATTTATGCAAGAAGATAGTAATAGGTTGATTTTATAATTGATCATTTTTACTCTCTTTGTTTACATAAAATAGCTTATAAAATATTTTCTATAATTTTTCATTATTTGGAGCTTTTAGAAAAATTAAGTAACAGAACAAACTTACTTCACCTTATAAATGCATATTTTTAATTTATAAATTATGGATATTTTTAATTTATAAATTATGGGTAGCCATTATCACCTATTTCTATTACCACCCATCAACATTCACCACCACCAGTCACTAGTAACTCATATTGACCAACTTACAAATAAGCAATTGATACACATGCATTAGCCTAAATGTCTTGATCCTCAAATTGAGCTGCAACATTTGCTATCTTTTGTTGGCTTTAGGAGAAAATTAAATGACAGAAAAATACTCTGACGAGAATCTTTCCCAAAGAACAAGCAATAGTCATGAGGCACAATTTTTATGACTGCCAACTGCAATTCAAGTTGAACCCTTAGTCCCTTATCCACCGTGTCACACAAGGTTTGCTTGACGCAGTTGATGCAAGTATGCTCTATGTGAAAGGATGAAAGTTGAAGGAGATCAAAAGGGTTAACTTTTTTCTCAAAATTTTATACAGCTTTTGGCTGTATTTGCTCAAAATCGAAAACCTCAAACATAAGGCGTCTCACTTCTGGCTTTCCATACACTGTGTATGATAGCCCATGAAGGGCTTGTTGAACGGCACTTGTGGCGGGGTTTCTCAGCCTTCGATTGTTCTCAAATGCATCTTGAACCTGCTCAGAGTAGACAACAAATTGATGCAGACGTTTATCTCTCAAGTACCGCCCGCAGAATTTGTTCATCAGAAGACGCCGGTGCTTCTCCTGTAGCCACCTCCCAGGAGCGTCTAAATGCTTCATCAGTAACCTCTCAGCCATTACGAGATCCTAAAGTAAAAGAGTAAAATCACTTAAATAAAATTTAACAAATCTTGGTTCTGGTAGTGCCTAATTCTGGAACAAAGAATTGTTACAATCTCGTTAGTTATAAAGCTATAGTGCTTAATTCTACCAAGATGGGTAAAAGCATAATTGAACAACGTGAAAAGGATGAAGAAAATACCTGGATCTTTTGGCCAACATATTCTAATCGTTCGTAGCAAAACCGAGGATGCTCAAATTTGTATTTTGATGGATGCAAGAAACAAAGCTGTAAAAAAGTAACAAATGGAAGATCAGAAAACAAGTGGACAGGAAAACATTTATTCTGTGCAACAGTGTATATACAATGTCGGATACATAGTTGTACAACATGAAAATATGTACAAGCTACATGAAAATATGCAAATATATAATATATATTTGATGCAGGAAGATAGAACTACCTGTAACCCAAGTCCAAGTTCAATATTCCTGGCTTCAGTAATTTCAGGAATTCTGTCCGACAGCCTTAGGGGATACCCCAGTGTTCGCAAGACTTGAGGTCTGCTTTCATAATCCCATAAATTTCCTCGAAACCGATGCATGCCTGGTGGAACACAAGCCCTGAAAAGCCTTGGGTGTGCAAAAAGGCTATCTTCAGGAGGCTGCAAAAGAATTTAACATCACTCGAAGGATTCCCTCACATTAATAAGAATGAAATTAGCTGCTCCAAATTCAGGTAAAAGGAATATTTTTTTCTGAGATTGCATTTGCATGCATCAACTATTTAGGAGTAGATGGTCATAACGATGTCCTATTAACTTAGTAAATACATTTCCTCTTTCCAATTCTAAAACTAATTGCATAAACTTGAATGTCTCCCAACATAAGCTGCAGTCTCAATATCCAATTTGGTATATGAAAAGCATGGGTGGTGACTACACACTAATGACAAAGATAGTAGTATTCTAGCAGTAGTAACATAAGTTCACTATAAAATAGGATTTTGGGGTTCTAGTTTCTAATAGGCAGAATGATTTAACATCAAAATGAAGTATAGGTACAACTTGCCTTATAAGCAGCAACGTCTTGCCAACTCAGCTTTTTCCCATCAAATTCAACAGAAACATAGTCTACATCTTCAAGTTGCCTCCGTAAATTTGGCTGGCAATCCTCAGCTTCCGGATCCATCCCAAATACTTCGAAAAGAACACGATAGACTTCTGGCATGCCAAAACACAAATATATTGCACCAAACAGTGCCCAGAAAACAGACCTGTCAAAAACAACTAAAAGATTAGCATATATTTTCTCTACAGATATAAAAATTGATATCCCATATTAACCATTAAGTGTAACATCAAGCTAATCCATTGGCAATTTGGTACAGGAAGGTCCAGTTTGTCATTGAATCAAACATGTCAATGCCCAAGAGAGCCACCGAGTCCAAGTCAATAAAACAGAGATTTGACATCATGCTCAAAATAGTCAAATCAACACAACTATGGTTCACTCCCAAACCAGTTGGTACAAGTTCTATGACATGAATGATTGCCACCTGGCATGAAATCTATGCTTTACTGTGGATAACTACTTGAGTTGAAATGACAATTATACCATAGAGCAAATGTATTTTTGATATTTTAAGGCTCTTTATAAACAAATGTTTTGATGATATCAATCAGATATTATCTTGGTCCAGCACTTCTTTCTCCAAATGTATTTCATCCAACTTTCATCTCAAACCAATCTTCTCAAAATTTTTGCTGCACAGTAGGATCTTCCACCCAAACATTCTCTAAATCCCACTTTTTGAATGTGAACGTAGAGATAAAAAGCAAACCAAGGCCATATGCCACCAATTTTCACAAACCTGTCATATCATCTTCTCTTATTTCACCAGAGGCATTAAAGCGAAAATCAGATTTTCATAGAACATCCAACCAACACAACTAATAAAGCTTCCTCCAGAGCCTTGGGCATTAGCAAAGAAATTTGGGTGGATTGACATAGTTTGCATCTTAATGATCATAGAACTCCGACATACTTGCCTATGCATTTCTTTCTCCTCAAACAAATTTGAAGAACAAAAGTATAAAACAAACCTACTATACTGAAAATCAACTAGCCAGATCAAGCAATTCTGCACCCTTGCAATCAGCCAAAAAGAGAAATGAAACCATGTCCAACAACTGATTGGTTAATGGTTACTGCACGGATGCTATTACCCTACTTTGCACCAGCAAACAGAATTACTAATACAAACCAGTTCTTCTATTTCTGAAGATACAAAAACTTTTTGTACATCAAGCAGGCACAAAAATATAAAGGCCTCACTTTTCTTATGCCAAAAAGCTGACAGAATAAGGGGAAATGCTATGCATATATCAATGATCTATATCTTAGAAGCTTTAACAGCTCAACAAAACAAAACTTAAGCATATTAGACTAGTACAAGAAAATTGCTTGTAACCAACTAAACGAAAAGCTTGAACATAAGTGAAGCCTAGGCACATTAAACAACTAGCCGGCAGCAGGAAGCACGACAGCAACCTTTCCACAATCCAGAAAATGTAATTGCTATATTCATTCCACATAAAGCTATGCTAGAGGTAAAAACTAAACTTTGACATTCTACTAGACAAGACAGTGAAGCAGAAAGTGAAATAAAAAATGAGAAACAGAAGGAAACTTACTTCACTGGCGGTTCTCGATCTTTCCTAACCAACTTATCCATATCATCAAAAGGGAAAACCAAGTTCTGCAAACTAGCTGCTTTAATCCACTTAGGCAAATTCCTCTTTCCAATCAAAGCAAAAACTCTCTCCCTAAGTGGAGCCGGAGATTCTCTTGGATATCTCTGCAGAAAATACTCACAAAAAGCCAATTCCAAAACATACTGTCCCAGGAACATTAGCCTTGAATGCCCACACCTTATGTGCCTGGCATTAGACCTCTCACAACTAGGATGCTGAAACGCCAAATACAACAAAGTATCAAATTGCTTTGCAGGATTATCGTCCCCAAAATTATCTGATGGCTCCAAAGGATAACCTAAAGCTTGCTTTGCCTCAAGCAAGTACTCATCAATCCAAGTTTTATCAGCATTATTAAGACGCGAAGGGGGTAAACAAGAACTCAATAAAGGGAATTGCTTGAGAGATAATTGAGGACTATCTAAAAATCTTTGCGCGAGTCTCTTGTCATCAAGTGGAGGTCTTAGTATAAATCGCTTTGGGGGCACCTTTTTCTTTGGAGAAGTGATTTTCTTGCGCTCTGCTAGCTCTTTGAGAAGTCGTTGAGGACTATTCTGTGGAAGCTCTTGAGGGTCTACAGCTACAGCAAAAACGCGAAGATTTTGAGCGCTTTTAGGGTTTTTGAGGTGGAATAGGATGGGAATTGGAGAAAATGAAGATGAGAATGAGATGTCAGATATTTTTGGGAGCTGAGTGAATGAGGAAGAGAGTTCCATTAGTAGATTTTTTGAAGTAATCGATTAAACTTTGTTACATTTATAAGGATAACTGAAAGCAATTGGGGGTTTTTAGGCTTGTGGACATAGCAACAGGTACTGGATGTTGGGTTACAGCGGACAGGGTTTAGCCGGAACCCATGGATAAGAAATGAAGAAGACGAAGAAGAAGCTAAGGCAAATGGCAAAAAATCCAATCTTTTGGTTGGATATTTGGAGCTGGCTTACCTGAATTATCATTTATCAGTTACCACAACGCGTAGTCGTTTATTGTTTCCTTTTCATTTTTAAGGTACAAACAAACACTACTGTGGTTTACCGACCTATCGTTTCTTTCCGTTGTCTTCCAGTATTTAACGTTTGTCATCGGTGTTTGTTTTCAATGTCTAAAGCAAAACAACGAGTCGTTTAAAACACGTATATTTAATCATTGTTTTCAATCCCATATAAGATCAAGTTTTTTTCATAAAATAATATCAATCTCACTACTAAAACATCATTACGAAAATCGTTGATTTTTATCTCCTTCCAAACAAAGCCTAAACGAAGGGCCAGTTGGCAATTAGAAGTTTAAAGTCACACAAATGCTTGGATGGAAAGGCCCAACTACAGAAATGACCCACCTATTCCAAGGCCCAACTTTGATATATTTCCCGGGCCATAACCCATAAGTTAGCTTCGATTTTTTTTATTTTTTATTTTCAACGATCTGATATCCGGACCCACTAGCCCACCTAATCCGGATTCGCACCGTACAGTCTCACAAACGGGCAAAACCCTAGTTTCGATTGAATTCCTAATTTTCCATACGGCTATGTATATCCTGTCATTGGTTCTTCTTCTTTCTCTATTATTAGCCCTACTTTTCATTTGGAGTACAATAATAGAGAGAGAGGCCAGCTTTTCCAACTTTCTGATCCCCACAATAGATTTTTCATCGATACGCTGCGGTGGAATCCTTCATCTTATTTGTACACACACCATTGTTGGTTGTCTGCCTAACTAGTAGTTGAGCTTCAATGTAGAAGTTCAAGGATTAATGTTTAATTTGTCTTATTAGAGTTTTAGCTTATTCAATCCAACAATAATGAAATAAACTTATATATTTGAACTAAATCAGTAAATTATTTATTCGAATTTATAAGTTAAAATTTTGTCTAAATGAAAAGAATTTCCTTTTAAAGATGATGCTATATAACCTATTGGCTGGAAAAATAAAATTACCTTCTACAGTCATAAAATAACACCATATAACACTTCTTAATCATTAGACAATCAACTCTTAATATTCATATTTAATTATTCAGTAAATTGTTTAACTAGATAATATGAAAATCCGATAGGCCATCAATAAGACAAAATAAATGAATCTAGACTCAAGCAATAATCTTGAAAAGATTAGAAAAGATAATTTAGCTTAAGATATATTTGGCATTTATTTCAATTGCTGTTTGAATGTCATATATTCTAATCATAAAAATGTTAAAATAATTAAAAAAGGAGATCTAAAGTCTAAAATATAATTATAATTTAAATATAAACTACGTCAAAAACTATTACAGATAGCCAAATCCATAAAGGTCAAAAATTACAATTATAAGTGAAAGAATATTAGGGGAGGAGATATTTTAGTCATGGACTTCTACCGTAGCCATCTAGGCTAATTAAAGTTCATTTGCTAACATCCCTGAGAGATGAGATGTGATGATAAATATCATTTCTTTCTTAATTAGATATTTCGAGTTCAAGTTTTAGGTATAAAGTCTCTTTTAAATATATGGGAGATCCCTTTGTAAGCTTATCCAGTGCGAATCTAGATTAATCGGGTCAATGAGCTTCAGATACTGAACAAGGGTTATGGATCCTGTAATACACAGATAACATCTATTAATAGTTAGAGAGCAATACAAAAGTCAGAATCTACAGTGCCAGATTTCACTATGTTTATCTTATATATTTATGTTTGCTTCTTTTAGGTTGTTTCCTTACCGTCAATTCACATGGACAAGAATGCTAGGTCACTTCTATCTTTTATATATAACTTTCGGCATTTTTCTGCTCATTATTCTGTATTTCCAACCAACTTTCCCGACATTGTAACTTGTCTTATTAATTTGTTGGCAACTTGTAATTTCATGTTGTCACGAAATATATATATGTACACATTCTAAGGGTCTGTGTAACGCCCTATTTTTCCTGTGTTGAAATAGTAGTTTATCTGTCTGTGAATAATACTGTCGGTCCGGGAGTCGGTATTATTTTGGTCCAGAAAAATAGTAGTTTATCTGTCTGTGAATAGTATTGTCGGTCCGGGAGTCGGTATTATTTTGGTCCAGAAAAATTATTATATATGGTTAATATTTTATGTTACATTTTTGGAGCATGCATGCATGATTTTTATGGGTAGAAAGTAAGTAGTGAATATTTTTGGAGAATTTTAGAGAATTAGTGAGTAGTAACTTAAGATGTGATATTAATTAAGGAAATTAGAGGCAATAGTTGGATTAAATTTGAAATGTTGTTATATTAATTAAGAAAACTCTTCATCGCTGGCCACCAATACTGTGATTTCAAATCCTGATACATTTTATTACTGCCAGGATGCATAGCATATGGACTACTATGAGCTTCCTTTAAGATACGTAGCTATTAGATTAGATTTACATTCAATCCTAGCCATCCAATTTTGGTGAAAAGACCAAACTCCCCTTTTAGTCAACTCCATTATTTGAGCAATATTTTTCTTCCTCTTCCTCTCCAACTAACGTGAACTTCATCTTCTTCTCCTCCATTTCACCTTTAGCCTCTCTTTCTCTTCTCTTTGTTTTCTCCATTTTCTACTTGAATAATTCACCAAATTCACTCCATAGAGAATTAGTGAGTAGTAACTTAAGATGGTGTTATATTAATTAAAGAAATTAGAGGAATTATTTTTAAGGATTAAATTTAAGAATTTTTATGGAGAATTCATTAGGTGAAGTAAACTTCATTATTTTTGGATTTAAAGTTTTCTTTTAGCATATACATACTTAATCATGCTCCAATTTCTTCTTTTCTTTGTTTTCTTTGTTTTGATTTTGAGCTTATTACATGTAGAGGGTGGGAGGTAGGAGAGCTTCCTAACAAAGAGACGACGGATGTCACATTCGGTGCCGGAGGCACTGTCTTAACTTAACATATAAATCAGAAAATCCTAGTATGAATTAGAAGTGATTTAATATTCACAAGAAGTTTGTACTACTTTGTGAAAATTTGGGATTTGGTATGAAATGATTTGATTGCTGGAATTTGCTTGTATAAATGTGTTCTTGAGTGTTTTCTAAGCCTACCTATATGTTGAATTTATGAGGAAATTATTTTTCTCTTCTTCTTCCAAAAGTGGCAGAATTTTACCAAGGGAAAATGTTAATGGGTGTGTTTAAGGACTGTTTTTCTATTCGTTTTATTTTCGTTTTATTTTCCCCTCTGTATTTTGAGTCCTTCAATAAAAGTTGTAGGTATAATTTCATAGCTTTTCCAACCCATCCTCTTGGTGTCCCAATTTTGATATATATAGCTCAACTTATGACTAAAACACCTAAACTGACTCTGTTGTAACGTACCACATGCAGCAATAGATTGAGTGACTATTTTGACCGCCATAATGGCAAGATTAGGTGTTGAGCTCTTCATGAGATTTGTTACCCTGTGTCTTGAGATTGCCCTGGTGTTGTATTGGTTTAATTTGAGTTTCTGGTTACGGAGAAATTCAATAAACATTGGACTTGGTTCTGCTGAATCCGGTCTGGACTATCAGTCTGTGTTCCTAGCTTATTTTGCCTATCTTGTAGATTTATCTGGGTTATGGTTCCTTCATAACAATTGTATAATTGTGTCTTATCTTTCTAATGAATCTAATTTCATTCAATTTGGAGATATATAACTCAAATTTTTGGAGATAATATAACTCAAGTTATGTGTATTAAAAACGTCAGCAAAGGATCAAGATTGCTTTTTATGCCTGGAAATTTCCAATGTTAAGTACTAATTGGTTTAAGTATGAGAACTGGTTTCATAATGAATTCAGTGTTAAATTCAGTTTTCATTGTAATTTATTGAATACTACAGAAAATAATTTTTAATGAAGCAATGCGAAAGTCAGAAATAATACAAATAAGAATAAAAAAATGGGATTTTTGGGCTTCTAAATAATACTTGTGTGAATTTTGAATGCGTGATTTGATTTTTAAAATTCTAGTCTGAAATGAGCATGCTCGGCATCGATCCATTTTTGATAAGAAGCTATTGATCATCACATGCATAGTGGGTGTCTTCTGTTCTGTTAGGGCGGACGCGCTCTATATGTTCTGAATCTGTTGGCGACCTAAGGCCATTCTGAATCTGTTCTGAAAACCTATCTGATTCTTTTTCTTCTAAGTGTATGTGAGCCCTTGTAAACATATTTTTCAAGTAGCTTGGAAATAAATGATTATATGTTATTAAATGAATTGTCAAAGCAAGATATTACGTTACATGGTTTTCTAAATAACCAGTATATGTATTGGTGTACTACAATTTCAAATAATGAGCACCACTGAGTTTTATACTCAGCGTGTTGATTTTATCACGCGTAGGTTGGAGTCTATATTGCTGATTGAAGACCAAAAGAGTAGCATCAGAAGGAAGAGGCTTACCTATGGTGGGAGTCTATGGTGAAGACAGCGAGAGCTGAGGATGTTACTTGGGATTTCTTTCTCTCTGCTTTTCCGGGATTGGTCGATGGGTGTTACATTTTGACTCAGCGCGTTGAGTTTATCAGGCGTAGGTTGTAGATTGTGGTATCTGCTTGAAGACCTGAAGGGTAGCATCAGAACTGAAGAGATTATTTGGGTAGTTGATTTAATGTGTTATGTAACTAAGAAATTATGGCATGTATAATTCTAATTATTTTAGTGTATATATTTTGTGATAAGCATGAGGCATACTTTATGATTTAGTATTAATATTTTTAAGATAGTTGTTATGATTAAACCATTATGTAACATCACTTCCCAGTCCACCCGTTAACCCGAATGAACCGAGCCGAGATGCTACAGTCTGGTTGAACCTATGTTCTGTCATGCTGATATCATCCTGTAGGCTAAATATGATGTCATGTTGTTGCTTTCGACGTTAGTTAGATATAGCTATGTACTTACTATTTACAAGACATGATACTAGTTTCCAAAATGAAATGGGCCCAACTATGTGCCCTGTACATGCCATGATAGGTTTCCTCC